TTTTACTACATACCCATGACATCAAATATCAAAAGGGTCATATTTTTTAAATTAAATTTTTCCATTAAACTTTTTACCCAACATCAATGAAGAACTATTTTCTCAATTAAAATGCTTATTTTTAGGTCAATAAAATTGTTATTAAATTTTACTAATATTTTTAATGTATTTTCGAAAATTATTCGTTTTATTTATTATTATTAAAACACTTTATTAAATGCTTGTAGCTTAATATCCATTATTTAAATAATTTGTTTGTGGCTCATTCAAATGCTTCTAATCAAAATAATTGAATGAAATGATACATATAATTTTATCTACAAGAACTATCAACATATCTGTTAATGAAGTCACATTTTTTAAGAATTAACAATAAAAAACAATTATCAAGTGCCTTCAGAGCTCTAATGACATTTAAATGTCCATCTAAATTAATAATTATCAGCTAAAAAAATCATTTTTTAACTCGATAGAATTTTTAATAATTTTTTGTGAACAATGAAGAGGTCAATTGATGACAACTGAAAGAATTGGTTCATTAATATATTATACAAAAATTAATTATTAATTATTATAAAAGTATCAAGGAATGGTAACACAATTAATATTTAAAAATTTTCCAGCATTAATAATTGATTAATAATGTTAATTATCCAGAGTTAATAAATAATTATGGCAAAAAGTAATTGAAAGAAGATTAATATTAAAAATGAAAGAAATGAAGGTTTAACATATTAATCTTCTTTCTTTGTTACTGTAAAAAATAATAATATCAAACTTTCGTTAAATTATTATGAAACTTTTCGCTAATTACTTCCTTATTGATTTATTATATAAAAAGATTAAAAATTAGGTCAAGCTAATTCTCTCATGATCCAATTAATGACCTCATTCATTCATAATTAATTATGTATTAACTATTAATATACAGATACCTATTTTGAATAATTCTTCACCATTTTTATTGATTAAAAACTCTTGTTGGAAATATTCCTTAAAATTTTCTTTCTATTCAAAAGAATCCTTTTATTCTTGATCTCCAAGTAAAACTTGTTTTTATTATCAATTAAAAGGCAATAATAATTTGAATGATTTATTAGAAAATATTTATAATAAATTTATTAGAAATGAATATTTTATTGGCATTAAAGAATTTAATTCATGATTCTGCCATTGAACGATACGAATGATTAGACAGTTAATTTCAGCTGTCTAACAGAAACTAATGATCATTAATCCCAACACACAGAAGATAGTAATTTATAGCATATATAGCTTGACGATGCGTCGACGTATATTAAACGCTGGCTATTACGCAAACAGCTGGAAGAATGTTCTTGTAGGGGTCACGAGGTCGGGTTATATAAGGTCATGGAATAGTTACTCGTTCAAGTTGACATTTTTCCAAGTTCTAAGCTATTCCAAAGATAATGAGATAAAATTTAAGCAAAAAGTCAAGTATGTAGATACATATTTATACTCAGTGAACGCAATCCGGTTTTCAAACTCAAATGTCTCAATTATTGAATTGCTCCAACTACTTTGGTACAGCTGAGATTTTAATTATTGTTATGATGGAATTTTTATTATTTGTTACATCAAATTCCTTGCTGGAATATGATGCTAGAGGTGTTGATAGCTGATAGAGTATTGATTTTATGACAATATTTCTCTAAAAATACTCTCGTGGAGATAGCAAAAATTATTGAAGGATATTTTTGGGTGAGAAAGCTCGATTTATTGATGCTATGATTATGTTTAAGGAGATAAGCTTTATGATATGTCAGGCCCTATGGATTGGAGATATTATTCAATAGCTGGTTTTAGAAGAAGTCAAAAGTTAAAATGGAAACTACTTTTTTTGAAGAATTTTTTTTTCTACCTGAAATCAGGATGTTTTTTTGCTTTTCTTTCAATTTAACAGAGCAATGAAAAGTGATAAAAAATTCAGACATACTTTTTTAAAAAACTAGAAAGTGCAAGCTTTCTAATGCACTTTGGATTATTTAAAATTCATTGGATTTACACAGAAATTTTATTTAATTTTGTTAAAACCATTTAATTGTTACAATTATTATTTACTCTTTTGTCCCAAGATTCAATAAGATATGAAAATTAACTGTCTATTTTTAGTATTCAATTATGACTTTTATTTAATGATGGACTAGAATTAAGCTAAAATAAAAGATTAAATTCAATAAAGATAAAGTAATTACCAAAGTATAGATAATAATTAATTAAATAAGGAAAGAAAGTTAATCAAATAGCTGATGACCAGTGGGATTTTTTCCGGTGAGATTAAATGTTGGTGTCCAACCAGTCAAAACTGGATATCACACTCCTACAAGTGTGTTCAACATATACACAACTCATTCAATGAAGCATAAATATTTAGGAATTCAACAGTATTATAAAACATTACAGTAACAAGTAACTCTTGTTGAAAAGCTTTTAATGACTTTCACACAGAAAAAGTGATCTCCAACACTCATTTATATGCTACATGACACGTTCATTTAATTTGCGTCCTAGTGTTCAATAGATTACATATGAAAAAAATAGTACAAAGGAAGAAGTAGCATAGAAGCAGTAGACTATTAGATAGAGAGGATAAAGGAAGGAGAAATAAAAATGAGAAGTGAATGAATGGACGTAAGTAAAAAATTACGGGAGAATTTCCGGCCGATACGGGTTAGATGTTATTTTATTCGTTGTACTGAGCATACGGCAGACGGTTGGGTCATGAGTGTACTCCCAATAATCGCAAGTTGGAAATTGCACATAGTAGGCCATCAAGTAGATGAATAGATAAAGAGATATACACATTCACTTGGGGATATATTCAGTACGTAGCGTGTTATTTGGTCAAAAAGATGTGGTCGATAGGCTGGCATGATTGTCGATAATTCACGGTAGGAACCCAGACTAATCTATTATTATATCAAATGTGTATGTCCGACATGATGGAAGTTTTATGTGTAGAGACAGTGGTGAGTATAAGCTAGCCTTTATTGCTCACATTCAATGTGTATGCTATTACTTATGTATCCCTCATGTCTATTTATTTTAAATGTAATCATTGATCGTACCACCAATTATACTTCATTTCAATTATTTAACAATTTGATAGGCATGACAGCCGTAAATAATACGAGCATCAACAACCATATCAATTATTGGAAGTTTATTTCCTCCTAGTTATCAAATAAAAGCTCAGAAAAAATCCAAATAATGCTGTTGATCAATTTTTAGATCAACCATTTAATAAAGATAATTAGCAGAGAATCAATGCCATCAGCTTCTAAGTTTGCTGTCAAAAGTCACCTTTTACTACCTGCTTTTTTAATAACAGAAATGTTTTATGTATCATTAGTAATATAAATAAGGTCTAAGTAAATGAATACAGGACTAATAATATTTTATGACCAGCTAATAATTCAATTAATTTAAATCATTATTCAAGAATTTATAGCATATATTTCCTTTTCAGTACCATTTAAGTTATGTCCATGTTGATTTATCCCCCTTTTACTACTTTAAGATGGAATTGATTTCTTAATAAAATTGTTGACAATGTTATAGAATGTAGACTTGTATCTGAAAAAAGGCTAATAAATAAATTACTATGATTAATATCAAGTAACCAGTAGGATCTACTCTATAGCTATGAGGGAATGGAAGCCTGCCTTGTCCTTGATGTGAATGCTTACCACGAGATATAACGATCGTAGATCTGCATACATTTATATGTCTCTAGTAGATATAAAATGATATCTCGTAACAGAGATTGAGGATCAGAAACCTCCATCGATTAGACACTAAACATTGACTTCAATGATCTTTCAGTAATCCATTCACTATTTTCTGTACATTCATAAATTCTACAATTAACATTAACATGAGTTCTATTAATCATATTACATCAACAATAGGTTGTTGAAGAAATATTACTGCTTGATCTTTTTGATGTGTTGAAATTGACATTGAAGAATTTATTCTGCAATATTTTTTGCTTTTTGATCAACTATTGAGATGATTGATCTCTAAAACTTTTTTTAAAAAATAATTTAAAAGTAAATTAGCTGATCTCCAGTTTTCCTAAAGATTAAATTAAATTTTTATTACTGAAAAAAGTAGCAAAAAATGTAGGATTAATGATGGAACTGGTGATCACAATGTCTGAATGAATATTCAAGATGATCGTGAAAGTTTTCACGTCATCGCTTTCTATTTCGCGAGTCTGCAGATCGCGGAAAGAGTTGTATATTACATAGTGAGGAATATAAACGGGGAAATAGATGTTGGAGGCGGTGATTCTCAGTCGTGATAATAACGTAAGCTACGCGAATCTGGCATTGAGAAGCATTAGCAGGGCCGCTATATAACGTCAGTAGGACAGTGAAAGGCGACCTAGACCAAGTCTCTAACACCAGCTGAACGCAATAACGATGTTACTCTTGCGTTTGTATATTTACTCTCATGCTCGTTGAGCTCATGTTGCCTCTTGTGCAGGACTACGCAAGATCTCCATTGTCCTCGATTGAACGGAGGTGGAGTTGGTGGTACTGTGCTTGTCGTGGTATTGGTTTCACTCTCGACAAACTTTCGATTCCAATTGTTTCACCAGCAACTTGCTATATAACTATTGCCTTTATTTTCTCACGACAATCCTCATTCTTTTCTCTTTTTCTTATCTCCAGCCATTTAGAGAAAAATAGGGAGGAAAGTTCTTGTAATGAGTCCGGAAATTGAAATGCAATTTTCATTCAAAGAATTACTGATGGGAAGATGTTTCAATTAATGTTTATTTATGGAAGTAACATCATGTTGAGAGCTTTTTTCTTCAAATGGATGTACATTTTTAGCAATGACATATTTTCTGATGACTTGTTCTCAGCTGTTAAAGTAATTTTCTGGGAAAGTCATTATTTATTTTTAAAAATAAAATGTGTTTCTCATTGATCATAAATTGAATTATTTTGTTTTGTTTTATGTTACAGACTAAAGGCATCGGAAATAAGTCCACCTCGCAAAAAAAATGGCGGGTGAGGACACGCAGATGATTGCCAATGGTGCTGTGAATGTTTTGACAATTATCCCGAGTGAAAAGATGTTAAATGGAAACGTTGATATGCATTGCAATAAGCTTAATAATAATGGATCAATTGTTAATGGAAAAGTGATAGACATTACTGGAGAAAATGGCAAACTTTTATCCATTGGTGATGAAAAGTCCAACAGTTTACATACAGAGTTTGATGATGCTGATATTTCTTGTGGATGGGGACCTTGCAGGCCTCACTGGTTGCAGTTTTTTGCGACTAAGCAGGCTTTTTTAGTTATTTTTTGTCTTACTTGGGTATGTCTGAATACTATCAATTGATTAGTTACCTTGATATTTTAGAAATAGATTATTATGACCTTGATTGTTTTTTTTTCTTATCAACAGGTGCTCCAGGGCATGTATTATACGTATTTTGTCTCAGTGATAACAACTATCGAAAAGCTATTCCAAATTCAGTCAAAGACAACTGGTATAATAATGTCAGCGACTGAAATCGGCCAAATTGGCTCGTCTCTTTTACTAACTTACTACGGAGGTCAAGGTCACAGACCCAAGTGGATTGCCTGGGGCATGATACTCTTTGCGGTGAGCTCCTTCACCTGCTCCATTCCCCATTTTATCTTTGGGGAACAGCTGATTCAGCAGAATGAAATGCTCGTCAGTGCTGTAGGGCATGGTGGAGAGGGCGGCGGTCCTAATTTTACTGACGCCATTCCTGCCAATTTATGCAAACTTGACCCACGACAAAACAATGCTACAGTCAATCCTAATGGGTATGAATCCTTCCAATTTAGTTGCTTTTTTATTTGGTTTCACTTTTTATTTTTTATTCTGATTGGATTGAATATATGAATAATTTAATTGTTTTTTTTTACCGATATGATCATGACGGAATCTTTTATTTTTTTTTAGATAATTTATGAAACATAAAGTATTTTTGAATATTTTGTAATCAAAAACTAGTCACAAATATTTATTTTATCGATATTAGTAGTAAATATCAACTGAAATAAGCTTTTGGTGATAAATTAAAATATTTCATTCATTAAAAATTATTTCTGAATCATTTTTATCTTTTAATTATAAAAAAAAATGCCGACATGTTGATCAATAAGTCAAAAATGATTTATAATGGAGCGAAAAAACTATCTTTTATTTGTTAAGTAATAATAAATAATTAATTTTATATATTATAATTGAAATAACACCAATAGTTACGCTACATTTTTTCCGTGAATCTGTCAAGGTCATACGGGAACCCGCATTTGATAACGCAAACACGTGCCACATTGATAATTTTATTTTTAGATGGGTTTTTGCCACAAGTCCTCCACACTTTAACTCTGATTCTGTGGAGTATTGTGAAGGTGAATTTCTTACTGAGCAAAGGATCCAAAGCAAAATCACAACAGTCGTCCTTGCAATATTTTTTGTGTCCCTGTTGGGCGTAGGAATGGGCCAGACTGCAGTTTATACACTTGGAATTCCATACATAGACGACAACGTTGCATCCCGCGAGAGTCCTTTGTATTTTGGTAAGTTAGCACATAACAAATGGGTTGGGGCTACACAAAAGAACATATTTTCACCAAAAATCAAATTAGCCAAAGAGTCATGGCAAAATGCCAGTGGTGTAACAATGGTAATTATTTTAAATGATGAAAAAACATTCAGTAATGAGAGTTATACAGTCTGAGAACTTTAATGATAGTCTGTGGAAATTTTAAGCATGTGGTTAGATTTCAACTCGTTTTCTCAACAATACCACACATTAGTAAACAACCTAGACATTCAAAGAGAAGAGATAAAAAGTTTCTTCAACAAGAGGCTTTCGAAGTGTACAGTTTTTAACAGCAGTGGTTGATGGATATTTTTGAATAATTTTAATAAAAAGAGCTAATGAATATCAAGTAGAGTTACCAGACATGATGACCATGTGTTTCCATTATTTTGAAAACATACTGTGATTCGTTTTTGGCTTTCAAGAAGTTAGATTCTGGTAAAAAAATTGGAACTAACAAAAGGGTGAACTGAGTTTTGTATTCAACAAGATAACTAGCTATGGTATTGAGAAAAAAATTGCAAAAAATGGTCTCAATAATCATTGCGCGTTTCGTCTTGACGTAGATAAAGATAATCAGATAAGAAAAAAAGAACATTTTTCGGGCTCTCAATTTTAGCTTTGGTGATAACACAACATGAACAATTGTAGCAGAAAAAGTCATTCAATAGTAATCTGTGGAAATTTTAAGCAAGCATGTGGTTCAATTTCCCCTTTTTTCCATGTCCAACAATGCCACACATTAGTGTAGAATCTAGACATTCGAGAGCGAGAAAGAGAAAAAAAAAGCTTCTCTAAACAAAAGACACACACAGACTGCATTATTTTAAGTGCGCGAACACAACTTTTCAGCTACTGATTAAAACACTGTGTCGACTGAATGAAGCTTAAATCAACTGTGTTCAAGTCTAATCCCAAAATAATAGAAGTAAGCTCATTTGCTGGAGATTAAATAGAATATCAAAATGTAACAGCACTCCGTTATTTTTCATAAATACTCGGTGTCAAATATCCGTGGGAATAATACCTCTTGTCTTTCAATTCAACGTATTCGATTTTTACTTTTATAAAAGATATTCAGTATTTTGGAGAACACAATATACTCAAATCCTAGCTATACTCTTATACCACCATCACATTCTTATTTGTAAATCACAGGTAAATAAAAAGAGTATCAAGATCACTCTAAATTGCAGTATCTGCAAAGACTTAATGTGCAAAAATGAATGCATAAAAGTTCTCTCGCAATATTACAGGAAAACCGAAAAATAATAAAAATAGAAATAAAATTTTTTTTCAAAAGATCCTCTACAAATAACGTGAGTATTATTCTGGTCTGCTGAAGTTTTAATGACCCTACAAACAAAAATGACTACTTTCAAAGCGGGTTTTTTATATTCTTCACTGCTCTTCCTGCAGTTAACTCTGTCAATTTGTATAATAATCCTTCATGTTGCAGCCATAACAATAGGAGTGCGAATCCTTGGTCCGGCACTTGGTTTTATTCTTGGTTCCCTTTGCACCATGCTGTATGCTGATCTATCGGCTAATCCACAAATCACACCCACTGACCCGAGGTGGGTTGGTGCTTGGTGGCTTGGTAAGTTCTAATAAATCAATATGTAAATTTGCAGTACTATTTCAGTAATCCTTAAAAAAATACTTTAATCCTTTAAGTCTCATTTTTTACCCAACGTAATTGGAAAGTTACATAAATAATCCTTCTACGTAATGCAATATTTATTGTTCCAATAATTTTCATCTAGCACATAATAAAAAATAAAATATCTACCATTTTTTAATTAAATATTCAATCAAACTATTTTTTCTCCTTATTTTGTTATTAATTCAATCATGTAAAATCCCAAGACCTCATAAATAACACTCATATCTCTAAATGTCCTTTTTTGCTAGCTTAAGTACTCCCTTGTGGATCAAAACAACCCTTACTGAACCCCTCTAGTACATGAATTATGATTGTAATCTTGGAAAAAATAGCAGTAGATATCTGAAGAGACTTCTTCCTAAGAGCTTGGAAGAGTGATAGTGAAACATTGTTTAAATTGGACCAAATTTGATACCTTCTTATCACACAGCATAGTCAAGTTCTATACCTTTGACAATCAATTTAAAATTTACAATTTTCTAGCTCGTATTTCATTTATAAAGTTCAGTTTTATTTAAATTATTTAATCTCAACTTTTATTAGAGATGAATTGGCGAAGATAATATTCTAAAAATTTTTGTTTTCATCTCGTGAAAAATGATTGGCTTTTCGTTGATCAGTGTAGTGTGACATAAATTGTGACAAATATTTGATTGAACCAGTAAGAAAGCTAGGTTGAATGAGAAGCAAAAATGATGTTGGTCAATGTTAGATCTAAAAGTATACAAAAATGCCCATATATGAAATATTGCATTTCATCAAAGAATTTCCCTTGCAGGTCTTGTTCTCATATCTGCCATGCTGATGTTGGTCAGCGTTGCCATGTTCGCTTTCCCCACCCGATTGCCCACCAGTCGATCGCCACCTAAGATAGAAGATTCAAAGAAACCTAGTCTCAGAGGTAAGTCGACATAAACTTTTTATCTATACACACATATAAATAAGCATTTTTTTATTTTATTTACCTTCAGGTGAATGTAAATTAACTAGTCAGGAGTGTCAAGGATATTCGAATATATTCTTTAGGATGTTGTCATCTTGCTAAAGATATATACGACTTACGTGCGTGAATGGTGATTTCTTGATGCCAAATACTTAGTGAAATCTTTCGATCTTCGTATTGGCGTTGCCACAAATAACCCGGCTGGTAGTTTTATCGTGAGTTTGTACGCGTATCCAATCTCCCTTGGTGTGTGAGTCAATAATAATGACTGACCGACTCGCGAACGGTGGAACAAGTTCACGGTCGTATTGAGCCAGGACCCTGAGGACACGTGTGCACTAACATGTGCTAGAATATCAAGGGAGACACTCAATCTCCTTGTCAACTGTCTCACGCATGCCTTTGATATTTCTAACGCCCACCAAACTCCTCCGCTCTTCAAGTTTCACTTGCTGAAGGATATTTAAATGAAGTTGTCCGTCACGATTAAATAATGTACTCAATTTTACGCCGAATTTTTTGCACTTTTTTGTCGTTAGAAGTAGTATGAGTGTGGGAATATGCTAAAAGTTGAGTTAATTATATTCTTAATAGGGTGCGGCGGTAATATTTTTCTATATCTTGATAATTTTTTAGCAGAGCTGATTGTTGATGTGACTAGCTAATTTTTTTTTTTCATGTTTGATAAAAAAAGAATTTAACAAAATTATTTTATGACTTTGATAAAGAATGTTTTATATTCATTACTTGGATTTTAAATGTATCCTTAAGCTATTTTTTATTTTAATCAATAAAGTTATATATCAAGTTACTGATTCTATCACCTATAGAGAAGATTTTTTTTTTTTTTTTTGAATAAAATTTCTATTAAAAAATGAATTTTTAAAAGAATTATGTAACTCTTGAAAGATATTAATAGTTTCTGGTAGATTAATAGAGACTTTTGAACAGTTTTTTTCGCAAATTCTTTTTTTGTTGGTTGTTATATATATATATATATATTACACACGTATTACTCAATAGTATTCAACTGTATATTATGCATTTTCATAAGCAGTACTCCAACTCATCATACTGACAAGTTATTTATAACTTTCAAAAATAATTGCTGATTGTTTGATCATGAATATTTCAATAAAACTATGGCTTGATAATTTTTGTCAACTAAATAATGGTAGTAACTTCTAAATGAATTCATACAGCTCCATAAAAATGATAAAATAGTTCAGCTATCCCTATTAATATCAATAATAAATAGGAGTGACATTTTGTAGCTTCTGTGTTCCGCTTCTAATCAATATTTATGAAATCTACAAATTATACGGTAGTCCCATTGGGGTGCTAGAAGAGTAGAATAGCTGAATGACTATTATTATGTATTTAAAAAAAAGCAAAAAAGATATTATACATAATCGAAGGGTCACGAATGTTTCGTTTCTTTTTTGGCTGTCAAGCAACCCGAAAAAAAAAATCCTAGGGTCCGTTCCAAGCAAGCCTTTTAGCGCCTCAGTTTAGGATAGGAGAGATCTATCAATTATTTAATAGCAAAGGGAATAATTTGCCATTTAGTTTCTTTATTATAGGGAGACCCTGAAAAAAAGTAGAAAATAAATAACTCAGTAATAGGCGTGTCTATACAAATATTTGAGAATTCCCAATCAGTATTTGAAAAATTTACAAGCCATCGTTTATCTTAGTTGAGGGCCCAGGTGGACGCAGAATCCATAATTCAATCGCAAAAAATTTATCCCAAGTGCTGGAGGTCCTTTGGAATTCAACAAAAATTCACGAAGCATTCAGAAGAAATTAAGATGGAATTTAGTTGGAATTTTTTTTGCTGTCATGATGTTTAAGTTGATTTTATTGAAACTTATATTAATTAATGGTCATATTATTTTTATTTTATTTGAATTATAATCCAATGAAGGCTTGAATAATTTTTTATTACTCATAAAGAATTTTTATAAAAAATTAAATTATTACTTTTATAATAACTTTTCTATGAGTGCTTCACGTGTTATTTTATAGTTTATGTCTATTTGACCACATTATTACATTCTCTGCATCATTCTATGATTGTTGGCTATTGTTGAATGTGCAATAAACTTATATGGAATTTCATAATTGATTCACCTGTACCATGAACAACATTTCAAAGTTAATAAATAAAAAAGTATACTATTTTTTGAAAGAAAGAATGAAGTAAACAAGATAACATGGTGGTAAATTTGATGCTAAATTAATCAGAAACATGGTCTAATCCTGAAAATGATACTCTAAAAAATAGACCAACCTCTTGAATGCTTACCACCAAGACGCTTGTCTCCTTTCAACAGCTAATTCCACACTTTAATAAATTTTTTCTCCATCCTCCTCCTCAGCAACTCGTTGTTTCTCTTTACAAGTGCAATTTTCTCAGTTCTCTTGGTTTGCTTCTGTCTTTTCTCGTCTTGTTTCTTTTTCTTTTACCTTATAGTCTATGGGTCTATGCGGGGTTGCCACGATCTCGGCGACGACATAGGAATTCCCATTCCCCTCTTTTGACTTTGCCTATTACACAAAGAAATATAAAAAAAGCGTGGGATTAATTGTAGACATTAATCTTAGGAACGTTAGTATAAGGCACATGTGCTAATTCTAATAATAGAATTATTTGATTAAATGTTTTTATAGAATCGTTAACGAACCTCTTGATGATACATAGACATATCGTCTGGACTCTTTGAGCTTTTAATCGACCAGCCGCTTGTTTTAATTGAGACAATTTTTGTAGACTATTTTCTAGATTCAATAGATGAAATAATGTTTAAGTCTCTTGCGTATATGATCTGGCAACTGCGAGGTTCGCGACATAAAATCTACGATGCCTCGAGTACTAAGCCGCGTATAAACCAATGAGAATGAAATACGTCGTAGCATATGTGCATACTCATCGCCTAGACCAAACTTTTTGCTCCTTTTTTCTGTTTTTGCTTTGATGTTGTAAAATAGCTAGAGAATTTTTTGACAACTCAAACTCACAGAAAACTATCTTTATTTCTTGCAGATTTTCCTAAGGCTGTCAAGAGACTGCTCAGAAATGACATCCTCATGTTCAGAACTGCCAGCAGCGTCCTCCATATTCTACCCATCGCTGGATTATACACATTTTTGCCAAAATATTTGGAGACACAGTTTCGTCTTCCTGCTCATCATGCTAATATGATATCAGGTGATTTTACTACTTTGATGATGATAAATTTTGAAATATTTTCATTAACTAGGATAATTAATTAAAGAAAAAATTTCGTGATGAACTGATGTGTTAAATAGTTTGATATGATAAGTGGGATTTGTTAATTTAACTTATCAATGCTATATATAACTCATTGAAGTTTGTGACGTAACTCAGCAAGACATTAATGTCTCGAATTAAGACACCAAGTAGAGCAAGTCAATATTGCCATTATTGCTGAAATAACGGCAGGATATTGGTTTATCATTAGTCATTAACTGACAAATTATTACAAGTTAATGATTTAGATCTTTTGACAATAAATTATTGCTGATAAGAATGGATTAAAAAATATGTAAGTCTTTGATATTTCTGATAAATTTAGGAGACGGATATTTTTGAATAATTTTAATAAAAAGAGCTAATGAATATCAAGTAGAGTAGCCAGACATGATGACTGTGTAATTCCATTATTTTGAAAACATACTGTGATTCGTTTTTGGCTTTCAAGAAGTTAGATTCTGGTAAAAAAATTGGAACTAACAAAAGGGTGAACTGAGTTTTGTATTCAACAAGATAACTAGCCATGGTATTGAGAAAAAAATTGCAAAAAATGGTCTCGATAATCATTGCGCGTTTCGTCTTGACGTAGATAAAGATAATCAGATAAGAAAAAAAGAACATTTTTCGGGCTCTCAATTTTAGCTTTGGTGATAACACAACATGAACAATTGTAGCAGAAAAAGTCATTCAATAGTAATCTGTGGAAATTTTAAGCAAGCATGTGGTTCAATTTCCCCTTTTTTCCATGTCCAACAATGCCACACATTAGTGTAGAATCTAGACATTCGAGAGCGAGAAAGAGAAAAAAAAAGCTTCTCTAAACAAAAGACACACACAGACTGCATTATTTTAAGTGCGCGAACACAACTTTTCAGCTACTGATTAAAACACTGTGTCGACTGAATGAAGCTTAAATCAACTGTGTTCAAGTCTAATCCCAAAATAATAGAAGTAAGCTCATTTGCTGGAGATTAAATAGAATATCAAAATGTAATAGCACTCCGTTATTTTTCATAAATACTCGGTGTCAAATATCCGTGGGAATAATACCTCTTGTCTTTCAATTCAACGTATTCGATTTTTACTTTTATAAAAGATATTCAGTATTTTGGAGAACACAATATACTCAAATCCTTGCTATACTCTCATACCACCATCACATTTTAATTGTATGTAAATAGCTATATTTACAACAGATTAATGTGCAAAAATGAATTAAACTAGCATTTACCTTTTATAAAATCAAATTATTCTCATGTATTAGCTGTGTTAAAATTTACATAGCGAATTTGGTCAATATTTCAAAGCTCATGCTATCTACCCAAAGATCCCTACCATAGATAATAGTAGACACAGTATATTTTGTCTAATGTCTTTTTTACGACGATTTTTTAAAGTTAATTTCCATCTTTATTTTTTTTTTCATTATGTTCTGTTGATTCTTTTAGGTGTTGGAGGAATCTTGGTGATGGGTTTAGGCATAATAATCAGTGGAGTTTTTATCCTAAGAGCCAAACCTAATGCCAGATTTGTAGCTGCTTGGATAGCTTTCACTGCAGTGGTCTACGCGTTAGGAATGGGTATTTTAATGTTCATCGGCTGTCCCATGGATGATTTTGCTGGTCTCACTACTAAGGCTGATGGAATAACTGGTTTTGAACCAACATGCGAAGCAAGCTGTGATTGCGATCGAAATAAATTTAGTCCGATATGTGGTGCAGATAAAAGAACATATTTTTCAGCTTGTCATGCGGGATGTTCGAATTACACTATAACAGATGGTAAAGTCTCATCAGTAAGTTTCATTTTCACAAAAAAATCCCTATATATTACTTACTTTCGCTATATCATCTATGAGTTATTTTGTAATTTATTCAGAAAAAAAGTGCTAATGATAGCATGGATTCATTTTTCTTGGTGATAACATTTTTCTGAATAAATTATCAGCATATTTCATAATCTTCTTCTTATTCTACTTGAATGGAATAGTTTAATTGATGATGATTATTACTTTTATAGTTTTACAACTGCCAATGTGTTGGGCAAAATGAAACGATGCCAGAAGTATTGAGTTCAGCTACAATTGGATACTGCGAACTTGAATGCAGTAACTTTTGGGTCTACATGATCCTGTTTTCCTTGTTTGTCTTCATTCACTCAACGAGTGAAGTGGGATCGATGCTTTTGATACTGCGATGTGTTGATCCCAGAGACAAAGCCATGGCTTTAGGACTCATACAATTTGCCATTGGTTTATTTGGTATGTTTTTCACAAATACTTTTGATTTGTCTGAAAAATTAATTGCTATACAATGAAATATCATGAAGAGAATTATGGAGATTGGTTGCTAGAGAACAATTCAAGTAGATTGGAAAGCAAAATTACTTTTGAGAAAAATATAGTTTCAATAACTTCATGACTCTTTTCTTTACATAACACCATCTATAATAACTCTAGATCAAATTATTCTCTGGTAAAAGTACTCAAGATAATAATTATTGATAAAAATTTATGAATGATATTATAAACAATGCTACGATCATGTAGCACAGATATCATTAATCCATTATGATGTTGACGTCGATTGGAGTAAAAAAGTTTTGAATATTTTCCTAACAATCTATTTGATTTATAATTCTAGCTTTAATTCTCAACGTGAGAATTTTAATAAATTTTTGTGACCATTATATTGATGATAATTTATTTTTGTAATTAATTTAAAAATCACTTACTTTTACAGGAAACGTACCTTGTCCCATAGTTTACGGAGCTGTAGTAGATTCTGCTTGTCTTGTTTGGGAATATGCATGTGGTGAACGTGGTGCTTGTTGGCTCTACGACTCAAATATATTCAGGATGTTCTTTCATGGTATGTTCACCACAAAAATTAATCAACAATTCTCAGAGGTTTCACGTACAATTATACTGAGTAATTACAATGACTTGATATACTAATTAAATATATTTTCACAGGCACTACAGGTGGAATTCTTATATTAGCGTTCATTGTTGATCTCGTTGTATGGTACAAAGCAGGAAGTATAAATTTCGTAGATGAGCAAACGGGAGAAGAGGGTTCAGCTGAAGAAATGACTACTCTCAAATCCCAGGATGCCCAAACAGTGGACAACGATTACCTATGAAAGGTTGATGATAAAACAAATAAGAAAATATATTTTTTTTAGACCATTAAGGTGAGTAAGAGGATATTTCATGTGAAAGATATAATTAAACCAGTGAGCAAAGAGTACACTGAACTGAATTATAACGAATAGAAATGTCACATCGATAATTCAGCTGCGTGTTAATTTTTATCAGTAATTAGGGAATAAGTATTGCCATAAAAACGTGCAGGTGGATAAGACGATGTGGAGTAATTATTAATTATGAGAGTAATTATGTTTGTAAGACAATGCAAATGAAAATAACGTTTAGTCGATGAATAGGCAATATATATATACATAAATATATATATATATATACATACATCTATATCTATATGTACTATTCGCGCCTAAATATAACGGTGCTACCTAAAAAACGAGAACTGGAATTTGTGTCAAGTTGCAGAATGGAAAAGCATACGCAAATCATTTCTCATGAAAAATATGAATATATTTATGTATTTACTTTTAAAAATTATTTGTGAATTTTTTAACGCAATCAGCATCAACGATCTGACATAATCGGCTGGCTGGTTAATGTTAGAAAAAAATATACAAGACTTAATTAATTAGTTGATATAATTTTATTGAATCAATCAGCATAGCTAAGCTGCTATTGAAGATATTTTTATATTTTAGTCATGTGATATTGAAATTTATTATTTCGAAAAAATCAACGATTTTTAAGATTTATAAAGTAATCATTAAATTAATTATTAGTGAAATAATATTTGTGATTTTAGGAAAAATTAAAATTTATTTTATTTACTGTTTAATGTAAATGAAATAATTTTTCACCAAAATGTATAAAAAATAAGTAAGATGTGTTAAATTTTGTAAAATTATGTGATTTAAAGATTGTATATGTACATATTTTTTCATGAGAAAAATTTGAGCTCAAGATTTTAGTGCGAATGTTTTCAATCTCGGTACCGCCGTCCATTTCACATAACAAAAATAATTTTCCGCTAAATATAAAATATAACACGAGGACGTGATAGGTACAGTGTATAGATAGAACAGTGAGAATGGAGTAAATTGAAAAAAAGGCGAATATGAGAGAAGTAAAAAAAAAAAATACGATATTAAAGACGACAAATTAAAATAGTAATGAGTGAATTAATTAAATAATTAATGAATAATACATGGAAAATATTTTTAGACAATTTGACGGATCACAGGGGTGATATTAATACCAGTGAACATGTATGAAAGGTCTTTTAAAAACTAAAATAATAATAAATTAATGAGAAAAATAATTAATTGATAGAAAAAAGTAATTGGTAATATTAATATTAATAATGAATTAATGATAATAAAAATCTAAGAGCTGTATTTTAATATCATACACTTTACAAATGGCATTGCCAATGTCTGTCTAGTGTTTTAAGTGACATCCAATAAAAGATAGAGTAAAAGGAAAATAAAATTTGGTCTGGGCATTAAAAATTGAAAGGTTCAAAAGTTATTAAGGAAATGGAAGATGAAAGAATTTTTATTTGAACGATTAACAAAGATAAGATTAATAAAAAAAAATACTTTAGAATCATCATTAGATTATTGATGAATACAAATAGCAATCATCTTCATGAGAAATTGTATTTTTATAATTAAAAAAGAAAATGATACCTAAGCTGTTGCTCTTGAAGCCTTACGTGCAGTAGGATATTTAGGCTCTCTGTTCTCCAAGAAATTTTATTTTGATTCTACTTACCGTACTTTTTATCATTATTATTTACATTCTAACGATAATAATGATGATGGAAATAATACAGTCGCATATTAAATAAATAGATTTAAAGAAACTGCAATAAATAAGATGAAAATATAAGTTGTTATGTTACGATTTAAACTTTTAAAAATAAAAAAAGAGATTGAGCTCACATCGAGACTGAGAGTTTACGGTTTTCAATTATCATCATAGAGTTTACTATTTCCTATGCACATTACAAATATCTGTACAAATGCCCAAGTATTTTCTCACTGATTATAGCGGAAATGTAAGAGTAATTAAATTACTGATAAATAGGCATCTATAGTGTTACTTTGTGCTAGAATATTTATTAAATAAATGGACAAATATTTTTATAAAATTTATTTAGAGATAGTTACTTTGAAAAAGAAATCCAGGAATTTAACTACCAAACATTCCTAATAATAAACTTTAAAAAGTTTAAATTTATTTGTTATTTTAGTTTTATTTTAAATATTTTGTTGTTACAATCATAAAAAAAAAAAAAATACTGAAATGTAAAAAAAAAAAATAACAAACAATATATAAAATACTATTTTAGCACAAAGTAAAGCTAAAATGTCTGCTCATAAATATAAATTATATGCCGGTCTAAAGTAAATCTTTCTTCCCTTACTTGTTGTTGCTGTTGTTGTTGTTTGTCTGTACCAATGAATTGACGGTTATTTTTGCAAATATTCATCCATTTGTGATCACTAGAAAAAGAAAGAAAGAAAGAGTGAGAGATGTTAATTGTACAGCAGGCTGCTCATACGTAGTATATATAGTAGTGTATTTCTCTTTCCGCACTTGTAAATAAAAGAGTACAATAATATTACCAAACCGATACCCCTTGACATAAAGATCATAATATAGACAATATTGTGACATCGCGGAACCATATTTTTCGCATGATAATATTGTCATTTTTAAAAAATTCAGAAATAATGGATTACTCAGATTATTGAATAATTATATAAACTCATGTAATTCTATAAATATTTTTCTGATCACTATAGACATATTTTTAAAATATCATTTTATTATCGTTCATTAACAAGAGTGATTTTTAATCCATTATTTCGGCTATTTTCACTGTTCAAAATAACTGATTCGATGTTTTCATCAATTTTGTAACGGTATTTTGAATTTATCTGAGATTTAGAAGATTAAACAACACTGCCGTTATCCGATATTTATTATATATCATTTTTACAGTTAAATATTACAGAAAACTGAAATAAAATACTGCCGAATTTATTCATTAAACTGATAACTGCCCATGAGAATTATAATTCTACTGCATTTCAGAGCATTTCATTCTAAATATTGAATTTCCAAGTGTACTATAAAATAATAGAAGTTCAAGGTTCCGCAAAAGCACTCTGTTGTCTCTTGAATTTTTCAAAAATAGAAGAAAAAAAGTGAATTAATTTAGAAAGAAAAAAAAATTAATTATAGCAAATGATAAATAATATCCATAATTATACTATTTTATACACATGATTGTAAGATTAATTGATGGATTTACTATTTAAGTATCTATGACGAAAGTTTACGACTTTATGGAGGTTTTTCATTGGAGGCTGCATTTCCAGGTTTATTTTTAAGTAGTCAAACTGTCTTAACAAATGAAAAAATTAATATATTTTGTCGAAAGTAAATCAATAATCAATAATAGATTATAAGTGCCTCTAGAAGAATTATGTTGAGTGTGAATTAACTCTTTCAGAACTGAATCTCTTATTTTAAATAGAGAAAATGATATTGCTCGTTATTTTAATTTATAAATATTTATTTTATCGTTTAAAATTTTTTTTTTTAGTACATTAGATAAATACTTTATTAATATATATTATTTTATTTTGAAATATTATGTAAAATTTGAAAAATTATTTATAATTTTATTGATATTGATATGTATTGAATAGAATTTTTAAAATGATGTTATAAAAATACTATTGGTTTTGTTTTGATTCCTAAAGATATTTATTGATATTTAAATAGTCAAATATAATATTAAAAGAAAGTTGAAAAAAAAAATATTTTAGTAAACACAAGTTATGAAAGGGTTAATAAATCAGTGTATTTATTGATAGCTAAATATTGTTATAAAACTATCATTTTATTTCACTGTCATCACGAAATGACGAAAAGTATGTCAATAAAGCCACTTAATGAAACCTCCTAAAAGAAATTGTTGAATTAATTTCAAATTAATTTTGAATAAAATAATCAATAAAAAAAAAACATTTAATCCTTGCGTAAGTTAAATTGCTAGTCTTTAATGTGGAATATAGATGAGAAGTGTTGAATACAGAGAAGGATAAAATGGCAAAGGGAAATGTAAAATTATCATATTATAATATAATATAAACAGATGAAAAGTAAATTAAATGAATCGTAATTTTGACTTATAATTCGTTAATTTATGAACAGAGTTGAAAACAGAACATATTAAATGATATTCATGGAAATGCATAATAATGATAATTTTTTTGTATATATTATAATATATTCATTATTACTATTATTATTATTATTATTATTATTATTATATCATTATTTTGCATATTTTATTGTTTTAATTATTACAATAATTATTTTCGAATATCTTTTTTAAATACATTACAGTTATATAAATTTATAATTAGTATTTTATATAATATTTTATAAGATAAATTTATTAGAAAAATAATTTCAAACATTTTGATACAATTATTGCATAAACAAATACGAAATATTGTAATTATTAATTAAACCGCCGTATTTACGTTCTAAAGATTGTACTATAATTTCATAATGAACTATTCAGTTGAGAATTAATGATGTACATATAACAAGAATTGTAAAACTTTATATTGTTTGACAAAACACGCTCCGCATCACTCATGTACCTTTTTTAATACACAAACACTCTGATGAATGATAATTATAATTAGCCTGAGGATTATTCATAACATTTTCTTCATAACAAATTGTTCCAATTATTAACAAAATGGATTAGTAATAAATTTTCTGAAGTGTTTAAAAAAATTTAAATAGTTTTGTAATCAATCCAAGGGCTAAGACTGAATGAAATGATGACGCAACGTCTAATTAACTTATTTTATAATTATACTGACGGTCTTTATTGTTTGTAATAATAGTTATTATTATAATTATAATTAATTTGTTTTTTAATAGAAAGGCAAGTGCCATAATTATGAATAGATAATCTCTTAATATTCATTTTATTTTATTCTATCATAAATAAATTAATTCATTAAATGATTTATTGATTAATATATGTATTGTAATAAAATTATGATGATTATTATTATAATTCACGAATTTTTTAAAATTAAATTCAATATCTTTTAATAGTCTTTATTATCGTAATTATCATTACAACGTTTTACTTCACATTATTTAAGTTAACTTAAAGTAAGCGATATAAGATTGCCCCTTTTGGTACTCCTTTTCTTATTTTTGACGAACTACGACGTGCAATTCTTATTCCTGATGACCAAGGTTCACTATAAAAACGTCGAGATATGCGATTTATGTTCGTGTTGCTGTTCATGTTTATATTCTGAAATTGAGGCAGAGTTGAATAATAAAACTTATTGTATTGCTTTTTTAAAATCACACTTTTTATTTTTCACAAATTATAAAAAATTATTATTTCATTTTATTGATTAGATATTTCAACAATAATGATTGAACTTCACTACTTATGAAGTGATATTAAATATTATGAGACAGTAGTTTTAAAATAAATGCTTTTTTATAATTTATGAAAAATTGATATTGGTATCAGTTAATTCATCAGTTTTTTGTCATATTAATTACTATGTTGTTTTCATATAATCAATGATATTTAAAAATCCATGCAGCTTATGTTACTCCGGTTTTTTATATTTCTGTTCTACTAATTTTCTCAGCCAGCGCAATAATAGCATTTTTAATCGTATCATTACACTCCTTGGCACTTTTTTCTCATCTGGATCCTGTTTATTAAAGCATAACGATTTGTCGGTATAAATTTGTATCCATTACAAAATGGATAATTTACAATTTTTATAAATGTTGTATAAATCATCAATAGATTGTTTTCACTACAGCCATTAAATAATTATCAATACTCTGCAGTATAAAGTCAAGCTAATTTAGCTCAAAAGAGTAATTTCAGATCAGTAGAAAAATTATCTCCTAAAGGCTTCACGTTTTTAAAAGTGAGAAAATCGTAAGTTAAACCAAAAAGAAATCATGTATACAATGCTCTTAGTATTCGATCTGAATTACCCTTAAGGGTTAAAGCACCTTGAACTTATCGTACTGAAATGTGAAAAATACAAACCGCAGTATCATCTTCCAAAGCATCATCGTCCTCAGCGCCCAACTCATCATCTTCAATTCTCTCATGCCCTTCTTCTGCATAATCTAACTCTCGAGCTGTTGCATTCATATCATTGCGTGCATATACGTCATCTGTTATTAAAAACAACATTCCATACATCAATCATTAGGAAAATTTCTGTGCTTAAATCTTGGCACATGATTACAAATACGAAAAAAATTAAAAATTATTCAATTTCATAATAACGGAGCAAGTGTCTTTTAATTGAATTAAAGAATGTTAATATATATTCACCATCATCGTCTAATAATTCTGCGGATGTTTCCCGACGTCCTATGACATTAACATTGGTGTTGCTGTTGGCATTGATACTTCTCCTGGCAGCCCTTGCTGCTACTTTCATTACCTTATGAACTGGAGTGGTAGTGTTGCCAGTTAAAACTCTCACAACTGCATCTGCTACTGCATCAGCAGTATTTTCACTCAACTTTTTTGCCAACGATCTTGTGACGATCTTCGCTGCATCGGCTGCTGCCGACGCCACTGCTGCAGCTTCTACTATTTTCTCTGCAGTGTCTTTATTAACCTGAATATTAGATTGATTATTGATGATAAATACAAACCTTTGAACAGTTTATTAATTATAAATATTTGTAATATTATGGCCTATAATGGTTTTTTGTATTTTATTCTCACTTCACTATGGACTGGACCATCAGTCCGTCGATATTTACGATGATGGGCGTTAATGTTTGCATTAATATTGGTATTGGAATTGATGTTTCGTTGGCCATGATGTTGTGAAGGATCACCATGGGTTGAAAGACAAGTCTATAAAATAGAAGTTTATTATCACACTGAAATCATCATTAATAAAGGAATCGGATGAATTTAAAAAATATTTATTAATTGACATTTACTCTTGAATTGAAAATAATAGTTAAAATTTATTTCTCACCTGAATAGTAATGGTAAAAGCGACTAAAAATATAGGAAATAATGAACGAACCATGTTTTTGGAAGAATATTTTCGTAGAAAAGTTTCACTTATTTCCAGTCTTGTTCGTTTGATTATATACGTTTCTCTAATTTCAATTAAAACCATATATCATGATATTGAGCGCAGAGCATAAAAATAATAGTTACTGATATTAAAGCTGTCATTCCATTTTTCTGACAGTGGAAAATTTGTGGTGAGGATTCAAAAAGAACAATGCCAAAAAAGCATTCATTTTCATTTCTATTTATTCCAGTTTGATTAATTCAATTAGCTGCCAAGTTTATATATCATTTTTTGAAAAAGTTGGCATACGATGGACGTTTTCGAATGTTGGTATTAGTATTGATGTTGGTGTTGACATTAGAATTACTATCACCATCTTCATCGATGTCATCCTCATCATCATCTTCATCGCTAGCATATTTTGATCTGTAGGATTTACGTGCTGTCACGTCTTCTTTAGCAGGAGCGTCATCAACTGGTCGCTTTGGTTTTCGAATTTTTGATAAATCATATTTAATTAATTTCATTTCTGCTAGATTAGTGGGCAATGAATGTGAAGATGATGACACATTTTTAGAATTGAACTGCAAGATACATTTTGTTCGGATAAAAGTTTAAGGCTTTTTAAGTTTATGAGGATTTTATTGTCAAATGACAAAATAAATAGTGAGGGTTTATAAGATTAAAAACTTACTTCTCGTTCATGATGAATAATTGCAACTTTCTTAACAATCTCAAGAAGTTCTGCTATTTTTAGCTCTGTTCGTAATAACGTTTGAGAAATGATATCAAAAATGCTGAGATCAATAACTCTCTTTGTTTCTTGAGCTGATGACTCTATTAATAACAGTGATAGTATAATAATACAAATAGCGGAGAAAGAACGTGTCATCTTTGATCATTATAGTTTCACTTAATATTATTTATATAGAGTTATAAGAGAACATGCTGTGTGGATATATATGTCCTCTGTGAGTTGTAAACAAAATTTTTATTGGCATCACGCTAAAACTAGTGTTATTATTTCTTGAGTTTGTTCTACGGATAACCAACGTTTTGGAACTCGTAAAATAAATGAAAATCAAGCCATTAAATTGCTAAAGAAATTTGATTCTCTAATATTCAATCAACGTATTCGTAAATAGAATTAAATTTATTCTTTTTTTATAGATCAAGGTTAGGATTTTATAACTGACGTAGTTGTATACTATAAATATCTTTCAATTTTGTATTTCATTATATGAAATAAGAAAAATATCACTAACCACAAATATAAATTTGAAAATATTTAAAAATGTGTCATTTTAATTTTTTATGACTCTTTACTAAATGTTTTAGAATTATAAATAAAGCAATAAGTCAAGATCGAACACAACTATAAAATTTTCACGATATCATATCAAATCAAAAATAATTCTGATAAAATTCATTAATTGCAGTATTATTAAATAAATGTAATTCATTTTTTAATTATTTAATACTCAATAAAAGTGATTAAATATCTTATAAAATAACAGTACAATTATAAAATTGGAATTTCAACCACCGAAACTTTTATTTCAAAAAATAGAGAAATGACTCAGTCGGTATGTGAAAGTGTTGATATAGTAGGATTTTTTAAGACCTACATAAGATTAAATCTCTGAATTACCATCTGTTAATATTAATCTTATTTTCTATACAGCTGACGATAAATAGAATAATAAAAAATTAGAATTTTAAAAATAATTTAAATATTTGTGCTTTAAATTAATTAATATTCCTTGTAAAGAAAGAATAAAAGCGTTAGGAAATATGTCTTACGGTAAATCGGAATGAAAGTAGAATTAATCAACCTTGTTTGATAGTTTCCAGTTCTCAGAAAATGTAAACACGCCGTTTCTGGAAAGTGACAGTAATTTTTATTCAATATGTTCTCCCAGTGTTTACCTTAGCGTTTTTTCTTTATAATACATAAATGTGCTAACTTTATGATATTTTCATGGCAAAAGTTTTATATTTACGAGTATAGTATATGAGTTATTGTTATGAATGCAAAAAAAAATTTTTATTTATTTCAATAAAGGAAATATTTTCGTTCTTTATTACGCGATATGATAAAAGAATGTAACGAATAGATTAAATTTTCGAATATAAATGACTTTTTTCTGTTACCAAACGTTGTTCGTATCTTTATGTTTTTAAATAATATTTAAAAATACTCTGCTGCTAGTTCATAATATTACTCGTTTTTTGAATAATTCATCACAACAAAAGTAGTCTGAACGATTTACCAAAATGCATCAAAAATTTTATTTTGAATTATTATGCATTTTTTTATATACTACAATCTCTACAACTTATCAAGAAGACATCAAAGCTAATTCTACATTGAATAATGAAAAATTACGATTAATGTACTTTTGGGAACAATTTGATTTTTTATATCCTACTGAAGCTGCTCGACAACAAGCAATAGAAAGTGGAGAATATGTTCCTGGAGGTGAACTACTTGGTGACATTGACATATCACATGGTAACTTGATCATTTATTATAATTCAGCAATTATGTAAAATTGAATCTATATAATAATTTGTCAAAAAAAAATTTAAAACAGGGAAAGAAGATTCAAGATTATTTGTAACCTTTCCACGAATTGGAAAAGGAACTCCTGCTACTCTAGGATATATCTTGTCCAGCAGCATTAAAAATAAAAAAGATATTCCTGTAGTTATTCCTTATCCTAATTTGGAGTTTAATAAAGTTGGAAATTGCAACAGTCTCATAAGTGTTTATCGAGTAAAGGTACAAATAAGTTCTCAATAAAAAAAAATAATCGATAAGCTTCAAGTACAATTCGTCACAACCTGCATTCTTTTGTAGATAGATGAATGTGGAAGGCTTTGGGTTCTTGACTCAGGAAAAATAGGGGAGCAGATATGTCCACCGAAAATAGTAATGTTCGATTTGAACTCTGATCAATCATCAACATATGAATTTCCAGAGGATCAGTACAATCCAGAATCAACTTTTGTTAATCTAGCTGTGGATGTTCGTCAAAATTGTTTAGATACATTTGTCTATATTGCAGATCCAACAGGATGTCAATTAATAATTTATGATCACACAAACAAAAACTCTTGGAACATTAAACATGATGTTTTCTCTTATGATCCAAACTATATTTCTTTCACTCTGGCTGGATATACGTTTGATCAGAAAGATGGTATTCTAGGATTGGCTTTAAGTCCCATGAGAAAGAATAACGACCGAATTCTCTACTTCCATTCGCTTTCAAGTGTTACAGAACATTTCGTTGAAACATCTGTTCTCAGGTTGTTAGAATGATGATAATTATTTATTCGTTATTTGTTGTTCATTTATTTATGATTAATATTTTTTAATTTAAAGAAAACAATCAAATTTTGAATCTTATGATAATGATTCGATATTAAAACTATTCTCATCGATGAAGAAAAAACGATCATCACAAACAGGAGTAGAAGTAATAGACCGAAATGGCGTACTTTTTTCTACTGCAGTCACGACAGCGAAGATAAATTGTTGGAATACCAATGATGGTCTATTTGAAGAAAATATATTGGACAATTTGGCTGTTGTCAGTGCTGAAGATCCTGGATTACCTTCTGCTTTAAATTTAAAGGTAGAGTGATTGGAAAAATTGAAATAACAAAGATTAATACTTACATTCTACTCATTTCCAGATGATTAATTTACCTAATGGAAGAGATGAACTATGGACCAATCTAGTATTTTTCTTTGTAAATGATAAGAACGAAACGGGAATGTATTTTAAAGTCTACGCTGGATATACTGATGAACTTGTTGAAGGCACAAAGTGTGCCCCTGCTTTCATTAGCAAATTATAAAATTTAAAAAAGCCCCTTAATTACTTTGTAATGAATGTCTAATGAAGTTGAGCACAAAAACTATTCGAAAATGTTACAATTGATAAACAGAAATTTTATTTCTACACTTATGTAATAGGATGAAAAATAAAGATGTTAAATGTAAGGAATTGAAACGCCAGAATGGTAGTAATAATATTACTAAAAACACTTGTCAAACTTAATGATGTTTGTGTGGCTCCAGTTATAAAAGATTATCTATGTTATCTGTAATGAATTTAAATATTAGAATATACTTATCTACTAAAATAAAAACATGTCGCCGGAAATTATAAAAATGATGTGACCACGATCATGATTATTGTGTCAATATAGATACAACTGTTTATTATGATGACTAGATTATATATATATCTCGGTTTAAGAATCATTCGAATAATTGGAAATATCCCTGATGTTACTTGACTCAGTTAGTTGAAAAGGTATGTGTCCACTGTTAACTTAAAACTTTGAGGTAATTAAATATCAAATTTTATGAAGACTTAATTTTATGTTAAGGTTGAAAATAAACTGTTTCAGTTCCAAGATGAGGAAAATCTGCACAACATTTTTAATTTTTTATCTTTTCCACTTTGGAGCTGCATCAATAGTATCGAAAGTTTTTACGTTTGATAATGCGAAAAAAGTTGGATCATTGGTAATGAAATCGTATACTTTGGAAAAAAAAGTTAATGATGATACTCCAGAAGTAATTCAAGCATTATCGACAGAATTAAATGCTGCGACGAATAATTTACGAAATTTAGGACTCTTTGTTCGTGAAAATTTAGATGGAATTGTTCTCAGCATACCTGAAGATGTTGAAACTGCTACAGAAATAAATAATGATTTGAGAGATATATTTAATCGAATCGTACTTATTAATGGACTCTTTAAATCATTTTATCTTGAATATGTGGATAAAAAGATTTCTGATACTTCATTAAATGTCTTTATAGCAAAAGCTACCAGCATTGATGAAGATAGTCCTGCTATTAATTCATTTAAAATATATAGCTTGATTCATCCTGGTAATCTTGGCTATTTAAAGCCTTGTTTCTTTTCTAGAATTGCTCAACAATTAAAAGTAAGTAAATGTATGGAATGATTCTGAAACGACATATAATTTGTTCAATTTCTTTTTGCAGACAAATGTTTTTCAACGTTGTAAAAAACATCAGAGTCCACAACAATTCTTATTTGAGCTCTATGATCTGATTGAAACTGTAGAAACTCGAGCATTCATGATGATTACTACAGCGTATAAATTAAAATCTCTTAAGGATAACGGTAAATTTTGAGTTTTTGTTAAATTTCAATAATTTTCCTTTTTATTGGTCTAGTAAAGATAAATAGACAAGTATTACTATGATTTTCTAGAAAACTTGTCGAGAGAAATGCAATTTGCGCATAATGAGCACGAAAAGAGGCTGCATGATTATTTAAGTGATTTACAGGGTGTTGTTAATGGTGCATCTACGTTAATGTTTAGTTGCATGCCTCAATATTATAGCTTGAATCACTTAGAACCTCAGTTAACTTATGCTGTGAGTTTGAGACCGAAAATAAGTGATTACAACAATAACATGTTGAGTATTTATGAATAAATTTTCTAAACACACACACATGAATGAAACAAGGTGAATAAAATGGAATTAATACTGTTTCGTATGTTATGTAGGGTAGTAACAGGACTACGGCTGGTCGTGTTGAAAGGAATAATTCATATTCAGATAGAAGAAGGTAAACTAGGAGTTAACGGAGATATAGTAGCTGGAACTGAAAGATGGATTCCAGTGGATGACATGGACTTCGCTTCGAAAACTATTCATCAAAACGGAGTGAACTCACACATGTCTATAGGCACTGATTTTCAAACGGTCACTTGGTGGGACTATGTAGAAACGGCAGTGCGAACCGTACCTGAAAATTGTGTAATTGTTGGTAAGAAATTCATTAACATACCAACTTTAAGAATGCATTTAACTACGAATAAATTAAAATTGTTACAGGTGCAAACTTCGATACCTATGACATAAGCGATACTAATAAGAAAATATTCTACCTGCGATTGCATTATGCAAAAATAGTCTTTTCCACTGGAGAAGTCATACCATCAACCTATAGTACAACCCATGAAATAACTTATGGATGGGGCAATTATGAAGTTTTTGCCTTAAACCGGTGATTATTGATTTTTTTTCTATCTAAAATTGATATGATTAAATATTGATGTTTATTGAATGAATATTAATAAATTTTTTAATTATTTTGTTTCAGTGAAATTAAATCATTCTCTGCAAATAGCAATGGAAATGAAAACTTTGTAAATCTTCCCAACTCTTATTTGGATTGGCAAAATGTCGTTGGAGAACCTAGAATTCCTTTCACAGGCGTTGGTTTTAAAAAATATGATAATCCATCATATGGACGTTCTTTGTCCTTACAAGTTTCTACGCTGAATTTAATGTCACGTATTGATATTAATTAATAAAAAATATATATACATACTGATTCATAAAATATATATATATATAATAATGCATTGAACACTTGAAAAATGATAATAAAAAATTATTCATAATATTTTTGTATTATTTATTTTAAGTTAATCCTTATGGAGGAGTTATGAATAAAAAAAATCAATAGAATAAAATATATAATATAATTTTTGAAATCATTTCACGATAGGATTGGAAATTTTTTTAGAATTTAAACGCATAAATATTATATTTAAAATCTTTAAAATGTTTTTTTTTTTGATGCCTGTTTTTAAAATTTTACTCACTAATTTCCACCAATAATTATTATATTTAAATAGAATACAAGTGTTAACTCGTTCTTAATAATATTTTTTCTGTATTTTGTTATCAATTTTTTTAGAATTTAAATGCATAAATATTAAACTTTAATTTTTTTTTTTATATTCTATTTAAAATATTTAAATATAATTATTATTAATTATTCATGAAGTTTCATTTAAACACTTGGATCTATATCATATATGACCTCTAAATGATGGCTAATTGAGTTACAGTCTCAGTACTTCAATTAAGAATGAAAATTATTATTTGTTCTTGCCAAATATCATGATAAAACAATATTTTTATCTATAAGTTTAAGTTAAAATAATTACGAAAGATGGCTTTTGGACTGAAAAACATCCGGCAGATGTTAAAAAATATGTTTATAGAAATGTTTTAGAGCTGTTTAAATAATCTATCATACAAAATGCTGTTATTATAATTCGCCAGCGAATACGATAACTCTTGATAATAATATTACAAATAAATTGATACACTAATGTTGATTCAACTGTATTGTTGTTAATAGGAAATATATATATAAGTGAAGTAGCCTTACAGAAAATATTCTATCCGATTTCATAAACCATCTAAGGTATGATTATTATTTATAAGATACATTTATATAATATTAATAATTAGAATTGCCATTCTAGCAACATGGGTTACAAAATCGGAGCAATTCTGCTCATCTTGAGCTTATTTTACATCTCAGTGGCACCAAATCCTCTCATAGTGATAGAGGGTGCAATCACTGCTACATCTACGGTTATGACAATCACCGACTACGTCAAAGGTCGACCAGTTGTATCGGATATTCTTCCACAAATGGCTGATGATCTGAATGCGTTATCGAATAATCTTTTCAACAGCGGTGTTAAACTTCGTGAAAGTTTAAGCGGAATAGCTGAGAGTATTCCAGCAGATCTTGAAGCAGCCGCTGAAATAAATAATGATGTTAGAAATATGTATGATAATATTCTAAATATTAATTACCTTTTCGAAAGATATTTCTATGACATTATGGACAAAAAAATTAGCACTCATTCCCTTGGAATTTTCGTCAATAAATCAACAAGTGCTGATAATAATGGTCCTGAACAAAGTGCCTTGAATATTTATAAAATCATTCATCCTGAAGAACTTAGCTTACTGAAGCCTAGCTTTTTAAAAAAAATTGTTACTCAATTGAATGTAAGTCATGATTTATATTACTTCTATTCAATTATTTTAATAGTTTTATTCAATGATTCAAATTAATTCTGTTTTTTTTAAATAACAGACAAATGTATATCAACGCTGTAAAAGACATGAAAGTCCTCAACAACGAATCTTGAAGATCTACACATTAGTCGGATTAGCTGAATTCAAAGCCTTCTTGATGACTTCTATTGGCTATGCATTACGTTCTTCAATGGTCAATGGTAATATCAAAATCCACTACTCTATTAAATTTAAAACGGTTATAAATTGAATTTATAAATTAATGAATATTGTAATTGTTGTAGAAAACCATGATCGAGATATAGAACGCGTTAAAAATGATCATATCGTAAAAATGCAAAATTACATCACGTTAGTTAAAGCTGCTGTATCAGAAGCCATGACTGAAGTTGCTAACTGTAAACCTGCGGCGAGTGATAAATTTAATTTATGGTCACTGCAAGCTGTCAGTTTATTACCAGTTGAGGCTGACTTCAAGAATGATATGTTAGTATACTAATTTGCAAATAAAGATTTCAATGCTCATGATATTGTATGTTATTTAGGGTAGTGACAGGAGTACGTTTTAACGTAGTAAATAGAATACTTCATGCTCAAATTGAAGAAGCAAAACTTGGTCCTAATTATACAACAGTATCTGGTACTGAAAGATGGGTTCCATTGGAAGAAATGGATTGGATGAGTAGTATAGGGGGTGCTCGTGGTGGTTGTACATTGAAAAAAAGAACTTCTTGGAGAAAATATGGGTCTAAACCAATTTGTGCGGAAACTGGTTCCAACATACAAATATATCTTTCCAAGACCATGGAATTTCCTGGAAGTTTTGCTATTGTTGGTGAGTATTAGTTATATATCTAGTTAATGCTCTTTTTTCAAATCCTAATTATTACAGGTGTGCAATTCCATAAGCAGGAACATATTGAAGATCATAAACTAGCTCTTCATTTAACTCTTAAAATGGCAGGAATTACTCCTCAAGGCAAAGTTATACCTCAAGTTCTTCCAAGTTTGTACGTATCACAAATTTTTATATTTCTATCTCATAGAACCAAACTATTATAATATTTTTTTATTATAGCCAAGAAAAGCAGAAAGATGCAAATAACGAATATTTTGACTTGGTTAATCATCATATTGATTTACAATCTGTCTATGCAGACCCAAGACTTCCTCTTACACAAGTTGAAGTCTACCATCGCGAAGATCAAGATCCTGGAAACACTGTATCTTTGAAACTTCAAACTTTTAATATTGCTTCCACGATTAAAACAAACTAATGTTAAGCTATTCAATAACATTTTGAAATACTATCGTTATTGATTCTCTGAAATATAGAGAAATATAAATGATTTAGAACAGGATTTAATACTTATAAAAAAGTAAAAATTATACTAATTCTTTTCAATTATCATTCAATAAATTTATTGCTTTCTCAAAGCTCTTCGTAACACTTCCTTCTTCACCTTTATCGATAGCTTAACATAATCATCATCACTGTCTTTATCATTATCATCAAAATCATCATCTAGATTATTATTATTATTACTGAAATGATTATCTTTAAGTGAACTTAACGTTCGTCGAGTTTGCCCTAAATTAGTGCCAGTCTCTGAGGAATCAGAAGATTGTTTTTCTTGAGACTGAATCTCTTTTAATGTTGACATCATGTCAGCAACGGTATTTCTCGTCACAATTTCATTTTCGATTGCATTACTCTGACCAATATCATTTTTGAATGCTCTTCGAGTGACATGGTCTAAAGCAGCAGCTACTTCATAAGCAGATGGTTGACTTCGTCTGGTTGGTCTTATTATTGGAGTGATGATATTTTCTAATTCAGTCATTATCTGTTGAGTTAATGGTGATCGTCGGGATGGTGGTTTGTCCATTCGCTCCTCGATGATACTCCACAGCTCTTTAGCCACTTCTTTTGGGTCTACATTGACGACTATGTTTACATTTTTGTTCTCTATCACTGTTTCAGACTGAAAACAATTATAATTGAGGTTATTTTGTAAAGTATTATTCAAAAAATTTGAGTAACAATGATTCAATTGTTTCTTATTTTTATATTGTTGACGTATTTTTTAATTTATTCAATTACATTAAATGAATAAATATTTAATGTACTGTATTCTCACCTCTGGACTAGGCGTTAACCTCGAGTTTCCACCGGCTTTAGGAGATTTCAAATTATTACCCAGCTGTAAATTTCACAAAATATTTTAAACAAATAAATTTATTAATAAAATTAAAAAAATAATCGATAAAACGATCGATTTGGCTTACAGAATGCGTGTGGACCACCACGAAAGTCAACATAAAAATATTGAAAATTTTCATGGTGGTGTAAACAACGCGATACGTTGACGCAACGAAAATCACAAGTCCTATAAAAAAATAGATTAAATACAAACTTCTTTATATACTTTAATCTCTACACGATGGCAATAATATCAAGCTCTAGCATTAAAAAAATTTTTTAATAACAGCCAGTGATCGTTTCACGATTCGCAGTTCAGTTGATTTTCTCAAGAAGTCGATTAACGGATATTCACGTCACAGTTGTTAATAATTTCATGTTTTTAAAAGCGTTAACTCATCATCAATTTTCTACAATAACATTTTTATTATCAATATCCATTTTATCAGTAAGTATATTTCCATTAAAGTACTACAATCATTAACATAATTAACACTTTAATAATACTTTTATAAATACTTGATTAACCTCCAAATCAATATATGCTTAAAGAATTTTATTAAAACATTGACATTTATTTAATCAAGTATCAGGATTAATAATATTCAAAGATTCAATATCATCTTTCAGATCATCCATCAGATCAGGTCTCTGTCGAATTTCTGTTTTCAAAGCTTTTGTTAAAGCTGCATAAAAATCATTATTCCAAGTATGTGGATCACTTCTTCGTGTTGGTTGATATGCTTGATAAAAGTTTCGTCCTCTATTTTGATCCTGCAGATCATTACCTGGTTCTCTAGGATAGATGTTCGAATTTGCTGGGTTTATTTGCTGTTCTTGTGTATTACGAGCAGCATTTAACGCAATTATCGCTCGTTTCATTGATAACTCGTTGTCATAATTGTTATGGGCTGTTGTACAGTATTGATTTGCACGTAAACGTGAATATTGTTGTTTATTGATTTGTTGAATTATGTCATTAATTTTATTAATTTCGTCATTTAGCTGTAACAGAAGATTTTCACTGCAATCACAAGCATTCTAAAAATGAAAATTAATTTATTTACTTCATAATAATCATTTCAATAATAATTAATGAATTTAATTAATAACTCATCACTTACTGCGTTAATTAATAGGTCAAAATATGATAGTATGCTAACGTAAATAATTTTTTTCCACATTATTGGTAATTTTTTTTTTTTTATGGCTAATAAACAAATGTGTTTTTAATTAATTTTTATATTTAAACTCTATAATTATTGTTTCAATTTTTTGTGCAAGGAGAAGAATCTGCTATGCCTTGGATGTAATTTTCGTTATGTCTGTGACCTTCTAAATTCAATCGTCATATTACTGCCATAAACTATTAACTATTATTGGTACAGATAAGCTTAGCTGATTGTATAGATGGATCATTGTTGTGATTCACTAATATCGAAGCGATTGGTTTATTCATTTTTTTAATTAAAAATACACTTCTTGGACATTTGTATTAAGTCATTTTTTATTACATTAGATGATAAAAAATTTAATCTTGGACAAAAATTGTAATTTAAAAAAGAATAAGGTATATTGAAAAAGGATGATACAATTGTGGAGATGATATTATTTATTAATTGTAAAAAAAAGTAATTAACGATGTCTATTGATTAAATTCATAATATCTTGAAGCTTCATTTTAGTTATCAGCTCATCGAAATTGGATCCGTGATTATCATCATTTTTATCGAAAGAAAATTTAAATATATTATCTAACGATTTATCTTTGCAAGGTGCTGCATCAAGCTCCTTAACATTTCTTCGAGACCTTCCATCTGGGCTTCGATCTAAAAAACCATTGGATTTTAAAAAAATAATATATCCATGTTGTGTATTGAATTAGAGTGGATCAATAAACTTGTGTCGTTATCTTTTCGAAGAAAAATTTTAAAGAAACATGAATTAATTATTGATCAACTGATGACTACTTCTTAACGTAATATTCATCTATTCCTATTAGAAAGTTTTTTCATGGAAATTAGTTTACATGCTTTATTGATTAGATTTTTTTTATTACATTAAAGGTTTGATTATAAATATTTTTTTTATTAAAAATGAAAAAATAGACACAAATGTATCCACCAATTCAATGATCGGACAATTTAAGTTTTAGAAACATCAGAAACTGAACCTGGAACTGAAGCTGGTTTACCCAAATTTAGATTTTGGAGAGCTTGCAATTGGCGAAGAGCTTCATCACCAAAGTCTAGATTATTTGTTGGAGTCCTTAATGGTATATTACCATTTTTTGTAGTATCGTTCATTAGAAGTTCATCTTTACCAGTATTTACTTGAATTCTTGTCACGTCTGTTGAATTGTTTAAACCAGTTTCATTTTTAATCTCCACATCTGATAAAAATCTCAAAGCGGGTAGGGAATTTTCCACATTAGCTTGGACATCTGCAGGTTTTTCATTAGTTACCAGAGATGTGAAACTTTCTACAGTTTTCTGAAGGTTGGTTTGATCAACTACAGCATCAATGGTTTTATTTATTCCTAAATTTAAAAGATTTCGTGCTCCTTCACTAAACATTGAATCCATATTCATATTACTTTCAGATTCATTCGAGGTCAGAGATCCTAGATGATTTGTAGCTGTAGTTATACTTTCAGCAGGTTTTAAAATGTCAGATATTGTTTTTGAACCAATTGGAAATAAAAATCTACTTTGGACTTCCGTAAATACATCATTTTTATGCTCATCAGGTTTCGTTTGTCCTTGAATTATTTCTTTTAAAGTCAAGTTTTGTAATTCAGTGTCTAATTTATTCGTTGCTTGAGCTCTTTCTGCATTTCTTAATTCAACCACTCGATTAGTCGTTTGATAAGCCAGTCGTAAAAACAACCGAACAAGTTTTTCATTTTGTTCTATCGAATTTGGATCGTAATGCTGTTCAGCAGTATTTAACACTTCTGATGATGATATAATAATCTGGAAACAGTTTTTTAACAAATAATTTTTTTTTTACAATTATTTATTGAATTTTTTTTCTAAGAGACTGTTAAAAAAAAAACTAATGTATGTGTATTTAATTAGGTGAATCATTACCGGAATGATGGAAATGAAGATGGAGAAAAGAACGTTGCTCACTTGCATCTTTCACTACACTACAAATGAAATATTCTCCACTGAGAATGACCTTTAAATATACTCAGCAATTAAGATGATTAATATAATTTGCACGGTCCATGTTTCGATTTCTTGGTATGTATTTTATGATCAATTAATGATAATTTTAGTGTTTAACTAATCAATTTGCTTATCAGTTCACTTTTAGACATCAATAATATTGTTGTACGACCATGAAGTAAGAAAAGATCTCATGAATTTTTTCATGAACATCAGGACAACTTATTATTGAATATAATACAAAGTTTAGCTTTTAGCATTCTTAATAAGAAACACAATATGAATATTTTAATCAAGTCATTTTTATTGATATGAAGTCATTGATATTTTACAGACATACCATTGACTGTGTACAAGGAAAATAAGTGTTTGATTAATTGTATTATTAGTAAGGATTTTATCTATTGTAGATAAATACATCATGTCTACTGTTATGAAGGGGAATAACAATGTTGGTTACATTATGTAATACTTATAGTTGTCATCTAGAAATAATCAGATATGAATCTTGATTATGTTGAATCTTCGTTAAGATCTGAAGATTTATCCTCTGTGCCCACAACGGTGGCATCGCTTAGGGTAATGATTGTGATACTGAGGATAGTGATGGCCATGATGTTTGTAGCCATAACCGCCACCGCCTCGGTAAGGATCAGGATTAGCACTAGCTACTGGTGATGCTTCTCTTTGTACTCTGACGACTTCTGATTGAACTACATCTTCAGCATTTTCTGCAATTAGATAGAAAAATTCTTTTCAGTATTTCCAATAGTAATTTAATTTTAAAATAATACAACATTCGTTATTTAGGAAGACTTTATCAATAGTCATGATATTAAAATATGATCCAAGTTTCAAGGATAAAAAAAGCTTGAAATTTAGTGAATAATTCATTGCAAAAATAGGAAATAAGAATAAAATAAGTAAAGCAGTTATTTAAACTTACCATTTTCAGTTGTAGGATAAGCGTAAACACAAACAACAGTTGCAAGAACGAGTAATAACACAATTTTAGCCATTTTTAAACAAAGTTCAGGATTCTTTCTTTGACTTGGAAAAAATTTTCTGTTACGGTGGTCGATCCTGCTGCGGTTCTTAAATGAAACTGGTTTTGAATGCTAAATGCTACCTATATATAGACTCGAATCTCTCAAGATACATTTCAGGAATTCAAGATTTTTCCTCTATTGAAATTTTTTTTATGATCATTTTTATTTTTATTTAAATTTTTATCTCTTTTAACAAGAAACGATGAATTAGTCATGATTGAAATTTTCACATATGATATTAGAAATGCAATATAAAATATGTTTTTATGCAAAAAATTTAATAATAGATTAACATTAACTTGTAATGAACGTCATTATCAGGAATCCCGGAACTTTTGATAAATGTCTTTTTCGTTCTCTGATTATGGTAATTCAAATTCATCAATTAATGACAATGGCAAATTTTTCCTTGTTACGTTTACAAATATTACATTAATAATCAACAATTCAATCAATTATGTTGGCGTTTTTCGAAAGAGCATTACTCAAAACTCGGTACTTTTTATTGAAAAACATTATTTATTTAATTAATTAATTCTACTTATAGATTTATCCCTATTTTATTCTGATGTTAAATTCAGGTGATGAATTTCTCGAGTATAATTCTAAGATTTGTGAATATAAATAAGAAAAAGAACATGGATTAGTCAAATGAAAAATTTCATAATATTAACAACATGTTCAGAGTCATTTGACCCTAATGAATCATTTATAATAAATAATCTTTCTGCCTCTTGAGTCAAATAGTTTTCAGAAAAAATTGTATGCAATAAAAATCTCATTCTTAGTGAAGAAAAAATTCAGTAAGATAAATATTTCTTAAAAAGTTATAATAAAAATACTGAGATATGAATACTTAGCCTAAAGTTTTGTTTCGATAAAAATTTTCATAATGATTTCTTCTGAACTGTCTAAGTTGTCAGATCGAAATAAATTTGGCAAGATTTAAATTGGTTGTTTAATCAAATTATTTATGAATTTTTTTCTGATCTTAATTTTGTCTGAGATTGAGTTTAAATATACTTCATTAAGGACAATGATTTACTAGATCAAAGGATCCAAGATAATTCAAGATAGGAGTTAAACTGGAATTTCGAGATGGACATTAAATTAATGACAAAATAAATTACGAACAATTAAATTTTATTTAGATACATATTTTTTATTATTTATGTAATATGATCAACAAATAATTTCCAAAAAGGTGAATAATAATATTCCACTATATTTTAAAAATTTCATTTCCAAAGATAATATCAAAATTCATTGAAAAATAATTTTTATTCAGTAGATCGAATGATAGTTTAATTTATTTATCCCCTTAGAGCATCAATCACTGCACCAAATAACCTGTGAAAAACAAACAGTTATTAAAATCATACAATAAAATTGAACAAATGAAGAAGAAATATAAATGCAGAAACAGAATAAATTTTTGTAACTCTCAAGCTTCATGCTCATTATAACAAAGAGAAGACCTAAGACTTGTATGTCTAAAAACCTTTATTTTCTTCTGATAAACTCTGGAGATAAAGTGGGATCTGGATCAGATGGCGATTTTTTATCAACATGAACCAGAGGATATCTATTTTTGGGGGTCTTTTGATCCTGTAACTCACTGGATATGATATCACTTATAACTCTACGAAGATCAGCATCGTCTTCAACATCAATCAAAGCTGCCTCGATTACAGAAGCTTGAGAATTTTTTGAATAAGTTTCCGGCACATCAATGTATACGTAGATTTCATCATACCCTGGTCGCTGAGGATGATCGTGGCCATGTTGCTGGTTGTAGTGAACGCCATGGTCATGAGAATGGTCGTGGTGGACGTCGTAGTGGATGTCATGGTCATGAAGATGGTCGTGGTGATGATCATGATCATGAGGATGGTCGTGGTGGACGTCATGGTCATGAAGATGGTCGTGGTGGACGTCATGGTCATGAAGATGGTCGTGGTGGACGTCATGGTCATGAAGATGGTCGTGGTGATGCCCATGGTCATGAGTATGGTCATGGTGAGCTAGACCATCATCAAGATGAGCGTGATTGCGGTGTCCATGAGTTTCGAGTCCCAAACTATCATGATAGGCAGCTCGAGGATGACGACTTTTTGGTGGTATTTCTCCAACAAACGACACTAAAAAAATGCTTCACTCTAGTATACTTTTACTCGATACTTTAAATTAACTTTAATAATTTTTTAGCATGAATTCTTAAACAATAGTTTATAATAATACTTACGATCTGTTTCAGAAGGATAAGCACAAACGTATGTAGCACAAGCTAAAATGAGTAAAAATACAAACTTAGCCATGATGACTATTGATTCTCGATTTTTAGATACGAAATGGTTTTTGGTCACTGCCACTGATGCTACTTCACTTCAGAATGATCACTGTTGGGATCACCAAATAATTCTTGTATATATATACACCATTTTATTACTCAACTCTTTTGAAACAGTCGATACCAATGACCTTCCAGCGTGTTGAATTCCAATACATAAACATCGGCGAGAATATAGGGATTATTCAAGGTCGACTTTGTGATAAATGAATTATAATGACTCCATCTCGTATACCCAATATTTACAGGTATCATTAATTGCGGTAGAGATTCTGAATGGAGCTCTTGGGATTCCGGCATCAAATGCGTCATTTAAAGACCATTGAAGAGATTCTTAAGTAAACATCATTGAATGTTAACAAAGATTATTCTCAAGACTTGAACATTTAACAAAACTAGTACTCAGTAATTACAGCCAATATGATTATTTTGAAAAATTTAATTGCGTTATCATGAATTTTTTTCCTCACTAGTGAGTCAGAAATTAAAAAAAATTGTTTTGGAGGTAATTATGGTTTGATCAACACCCGGAAATTTAATCAATTACTTTCAAATATTTATTGGACTTTGGATCCATGAAAATTATGGTATCGTAAACATATTGACTCAACTATTCAAAGTGTATTATTAAATATATTTTATTTTCAATTTTTTATTACAAAAATACTAAAATTTATTTATTTACATAAACAATTTAAGGTGGTATCATTATAATTATCTACTTTATACTTTTCTTCAAGTATGAAAAATAAGATTTATGTTACGATGTAACAATTATCTGATTACAGAATAAAAACTTCATAGGTTTTCGATTCAATGGATCTTGAAAGAAAATATAATTATTTATTTTTTTAACCAAAGATGTCAAAAAATCCACCCAATAATCTGGAAATAAATAGAATTCATTAGTGGTTTAATAGACTTATAAAAAAAATTATAATTTATAATTATTTTTAAAATTTTTCAATTTATTTTAATTGAATAAATCTTACCCATGTCCATGATGTCCATGCCCATGATATCCATGACCAAAATGATCATGGCCAAAATGATCATGGCCATAATGACCATGACCAAAGAAATCGTTACGATCATGATGATATACATCTTCATGACGGTAAAATGTATTGCCAAAACGATCTCGAGTCTCCGTTTCATAATGATGGACATGACCAGGATTTGGACTAGGACCAGGAGCTCTTTTAACTCGTCCAGGTAATGATTGCATTGCTGTTAATAATCATTTATCATTAATTAAAAAATCTTTAAATAAAATTATTGATAATGATGAAGAGAAAGCTTGATCATCTAAAAAAATTTACTTACAGTCTTGAGAAGGATAAGCAGCAACGTAAGCAGCAAAAGCCAAAACAATGAGGAATATTAACTTTGCCATTATGACAATTATTTGACTACAGTCGAACAGAAGATGATGTCTTCAAACAGCTACTAATGCTGTGTCGAATTCAAATGACTACTATTTCGATCACAATACGGTTCTTATATATCCACTCTCCGATGCTATACTTCTAGTGTTTAGGATTTTCCCATGATGTAACAATGTGTCAAATTCGTGAACGTGAATTACATAAGATTGGAAGGGTGCTTCTAGGTACTTTCAGTAGCTTAGAAAGTTTCTCTGGACCTCTGTCAATGACATTGATGCGACAAAGACGTCATCGAATTACCTTTGACGTAAAAGGTTTTATGAACTGAGCAATACACCATTATTATACTTTAAATCAAATTTAATAGATGACCAAAATATTTCATAAACTAGAAAATGATGATAGTAGCTGAAGTCCGTTTTTATGCTTAATGCCATTCTATCATTAATGTGATGATCATACTTTGTAGAAGTGATTTTGAATCATTAGATTTAGAAGTTTACTTTATGCAGGCTTAGTTCAATAATTCTATAACGGCTCGCTTCTAAATTTTTCATTTTGCATACATGGATACGTACTTCACAAATAAAATTAAAGAAAAGAAAATAGAATTAAAGAAAATGGGAAATTCTTGATATTGGTGGAGGAATATTATAAAATATTACTGTTTAATATATTTTAAGTAATTGATCATTTAATTTAGCATATATTTCTAAACTTGAATAATTCTTTTATTGACTTGGATGGAATTTATTTATGATAACTTATCTAATTCAGAATTATTTTCATTTAGAAAATTTAATTGTACTGTTCAAGTAAAGTATTTTTGAATTACTACATTTATATCAGATATAAACATTAATAAACTGATGTCACAGAAAAATAATTCAAAACACTTTTTCGTGCTGTTCAGGGTAGTGAATAGTACTTATAAATGATCAATAAATGGATTAAAGATAAAAACGGATATTTTGATTATAAATAAACTAGGAACTAGAATGTCTCATAATACTTTACTTAAAAATGAAAAATTTAATATTACATTTTTTATTGAGATGATTGGAATAATACGTTCATAACAGCTGCATAATTAAAAACAACTTTTTCAATAATTTTATTAAAAAATTTTATTTTTATTTTCAATTTAAAAAAAAAAAATTTGACAATAACAATTTTTTGTTGTTATAAAGCTCAACAAATACAATACATATTCAAATACGTTAATGTGTAACTGGGTTAAATGAGATAAAAAATTAATATAGAATATTGGATATTAGTTTTTTTTTAAATATTTTATATTGATAAAGATAATAATGGAAATAATTTTTTCGCAAAAACTTGTGAATCTTCTTTATATATTGAAGTTGTAATTCCAGGTTTTAATAATAATCGGAATGCCAATCCAAATGACCGGGACCAAAATGACCGTATGGGTAATGTACATCATAGTGTCCTCCATGATGATGTCCACCATGAAATCCTCCATAATGTCCATGATAATGTCCAGGACCAGGATGGATATGATCAAGCCCAAAGGGATCGAATCCAAAAAATTGTGGATTAGCAGCTCTTTTGACTCTTCCAGGTAATGATTGTATTGCTGTTGACAATAATTCATTATCAAGTCAACAATTTTTAAATAATATTATTGATAATGATAAATAAAAAGTTTAATTATTTAAAAAAATTTACTTACAGTCTTGAGGAGAAGGATAAGCAGCAACGTAAGCAGCAAAAGCCAAAACAATGAGGAATATTAACTTTGCCATTATGACAATTACTCAATTACGTTTGGACACAAGATGATGTCTTCAAACAGTTACTGATGCTGTGTTGTTTCGAATTCAAATGACCACTGTTTTGATCACAATGAAGTTCTTATATACACGGATGATTCTGTGTTTTTGTTTTCTTATATTTTTTAGGATATCCCCATGATGTAATGTATTAAGTTTGTGGACGTGTATTATATAAAATTGGAAGGGTATTTCCAGGTATCTTCATTAGCGTAGAAAGTTTCAATGGACCTCTACCAATAATTTCAATGCCACAAATACGTCGTCGAATTCCCTTACAACAATTGTAACAATTTTATGAGCCAAAAAGTCTAGTATTAAATGCTTTAATACTTTGCCAATATTATAAACAATTCTCGTTTACAGTTTATTTTTAACAACGGAGAATGTTTTTTTGTTATAAAGTTTAATGAATTCATACAGGACAAAATAGAATTATGGATCATTTTTTGTTTTTACTCAATCATATTTTACTCCGTTAAATTATCACCAATCAGTACTTCTTGAATTTTCTATTTATTGTTAAAAAGTTATTTTCCAATATATTCGTAGACTAGCTAACGAAAGATGCAGTGTGTTTGCAAAATAAACAAATGGACCATATTACTGACTGGATCATAATTCTATTTTTTCCTCTGTGTACTTAATTATTAAAAATTACTTATGCCTTGTTTTTCTTATTTCAGTTCGTTACTGGATTGAAGGAGGTATAGTAATAAACAGATACAGAATATTGTGTACTAGTTTTGTAATATTTTATTCAAGCAAAAAATTGACAACACTTTTAATCAAAAATCATAAATGTTTTTGATGTATTCAAGTTATAATTTCATGTTTTAATATGTTGGATGATTATGAATAACTTCATCCACATGACAAGGACCACGGATGCCATGAGGGCAATGTGTTTGGAATTGTGATCTGGAAGGATAACCATGTCCACCGAAACCGTGTCCACCGAAACCGTGTCCACCATGATTATATCCACTATAATGTCCAGGACCAGGAATGACGATATCTTGTCCATATTGTGGATTAGGATTAGCAGCTCGTGCAGTTCGATGTAGCATGGTGTTTACTAAAATTATAAAAACATCAATATACTTTTCATTATGGAATAATTTTTTCAGGTAATAACAATTTTTATCATATTTCAAATCATAATTATTACAAATGTATTTTTTCTAAATGATAAATATTCTAAATTACAATTATAATTAGATGAGCAGCAAAATAATAAAAAAATAATTACCATCTTGGTGAGAAAGACCAGCTACCATGCAGGCAGCAAATGCCAAAACCAACAAGCAAATCAACTTGGCCATTGTAATACAATTGATACACGACTTCCAATATCGCTTTTTGAACTGGAAATGATGTTTATTTGAACTGGTACACGATTCTTATTTATAGTCACAAATTTCTTAACAATTCCGGGATATCCCATTGACCTTCTGACGAATTGATCGTTAGTATGGTCATCTGAATGGGAGAATTTGAATCTTATAGGAGTGAAAGCATTACTCTTCACGTCTATATCGAAGGTAAAACTACAAAAACTTCCGCTTCTATACTGATGGGATTTTTCAAGGTAGCTTCAGTAGTAAATAAATGACTGCACTTGATACGACCAATGTTTATTGATGTTATTAACAAAGAATATTTAAGAAATTCCCTTGTTTACATTGACGTCATTTAAGTGTTTCTTAAGGGAATTTTTTATTGAGTAATGAAAAAAATTATTTTGATGTATAAAAATTAAAAATCAACAACATATGAAAATGATTCGATATTTCCATAAATTTATTTTTAAATAATAAATTGTAATAAATTGCTTTTTTTTTTAAAGATGATAATAACAATAATCCTTGAATTATACATCAACTCACTTTTTATGGTAAAGATGATAACCTTTAATTTGTTTACTATTATTACAGACAATAATAAAAATAATAACAACAATTTAATTTGAAGATATATCTTACTATAATTCTCTTGAAATTTGAATTAGAAAAAAAAACCGCGCTTTTATTGCCAATCAAATTTTTGCGCATTAGATAAAGACACTGATGCCATCTGTAAAGAATTTTCCCGGGATTCGCACTCCAAAAAGGGAAGAAAGAGCTGCGGCTTCTTTGATTTACAAGTTAGTAAGCCATTGTTTTTTATTAGTGGATGCAACACTGGAATGATCAACGGATTGTTTAAATTTAGATTAATAATTTATTAGTGAGTTTAGTATTTCTTACATAATAAGTTCAGTAGCTGTTGAAATTATTGAAAGCAGTTTGATTTATTAATGTAAGTAATCTAATTTTTCGAATATAAAGCAATTTTATTGTGTGCAACAGTTGTAATTGGACTAATGTTAAATTACAGTTTAGCAGACGCTATGGAAACAATTTGCTATTAGAATTTGTCAGCAAAAGGTTCTGGTTCGCTAATACAGTAGTGGTGATGGCAGTTGTAAATGATTGCTTTTGTTAACAGTTCTTTCAGATGAAAGCCATCAATAGCAGAATACTTTGCCACATTGCATTATGTTTCTCTTTATGGTTCTCCTTTATTAATAATCAGAATGGATTGTATTTTGTATAAATTTGCTTCAACATTATTATCTTTTGCAGCATAATGATAAGGAAACGGAAAGGGGCACGTGTTACGTAAGATTTTTCTAAATTGTTATTTTTTGTTTTAAACTTGAAAATATGAATGTTATTACTGTATGAGTCTTTATTATTCAGATTTTTGGATGTAGTCAACATGGTAATGTGAAATTGACTGAAGAAGAAACTGGTTTTATCGGTGAGAGCTACATTTTACCTCTGATGCTAACAAAGCTCTCTGTATCTTGGATTTCCTCATGAAATGCTTGATGAAACACACAAAGCCATCTTACAAATTCCCTTGAATTTACATTGTAATATTTTTCTTTTATCATCTCTCTAAAGGAGGATTTAAAAAATGCATCGAATCGAAGTGAATCATGGAAAAAAATTAAGTAGCTAGTATTTTTATTTAACAAATTACTGTTTAGATTGATAAAGATTCTAGACTCATTATAGTACTAATCTATTTTCAGCAATATAAAGGAGAGTTTTGGTCTAAATGTGAAGATGTAGAAATTTTTATTGAATATCTATGGCCGAGAGTTTGACTAAAAAAAATTAAACAACAGCATTGCTATTTGAAATTTATGGATGATTCAAGATTAAAAATGTTTATTCAATTATATTGAAATTTTGCTGTGTCTTTGAGAGATTGAACAAACATGCAGCATAGCAACGGTTGATTTGAAGTCATAGCTAAAAGTATGAACCATAAAATGGATTTTTTCTCTAACAGTCTTCAAAAGTAATTCAAAAGCTCTATAAACAATAAACGTTGTCTTTTCGTGCGTTAACTAAAATTCGTTATCACTTTACCAAGTATTCGCGGATACTTGGCAAATGTTTTTCAAGTAAAATAAATTTCATGATCAATTCTACAGCTTGAAACGCATTATAGTTGCTGTAAAGGTTCGCATTTTTTCGTGGATCGAATTAGTAATGAAGCTTCTAAGGTTTTTATTACGCTATTTCCCTCCAGGTAAAGATTAACAATTTTATTTCTGCCATTTCCGTTGTTATTGGAAGAATAATGAAAAGCAGTAAAAGAAAAATGTACATTTTCCATTGTTACAGGAATTGCTTTGGAATACACACAAGGTGGAGAAGTCAAGACCAAAATGATCGATTTGTTGGACCTTAATTCGAGGTAATAAAATAATAATTTACTGCTGATAAATTGAAAAAGAGTAATAAAAAATTCTGTTACACGAACAAATCAAAATACGTTCGATTCTATAATTTTACAATCCATTTTTCTCTGAGAACATCAATAAATCCTCAAAAAGTTGATTATTGTTTTATTGAAGTTTAAAATGTTGAATGTAAATGCCAAAAAAGTATGTTGGAGAATTATCAATAGCTTTGATAATATTCAAATGTGGTTTGGGAACATTGTTATAGAACTGACATTAAAGCATTGGCTCAAAACATCAAGGATGCAGAACCAGTAATAACTGATTCAGTGATAGGACAATTAGAGGATACATTGCTAAAGTTGCAATCTAAAGTATGTGATAATACAACAAAGCACTTCTACAAGTATAAAACTCTTCAAACTCATCTTCTTCCAGTGACTAATATAGCCTTTGATAAACTAGGTAAAAGGTACTTCCATTACAACATGTAGAATATTTTATCAATGAAAATTAATTATTAACATAAACTAAATTTTCTATGCAGATGCCTGACGGGCAGCTATGACCGAACTTGTAAAGTTTGGGACATTGAAACTGGAACGGAGCTTTTTACTCTCCAAGGCCATAAAAATGTAGTTTATGCTGTGTCTTTTAACAACCCCACTTCGTAAGTTAATTAATTTAATTATGCCAAAATTTATTCTATTCTCATTTTCATCAGCTATTCACAAAAGTAAGAAAAAATATAGCTGTACTTTCATACATTTATTCTACTTACATCAAGTTAATAACAATAATACATTACATAAAATATGTTGAAAGATCCAATCGAAAATAATAATAAATTTTTAAACATTGCTTTATCAAACTAAAATTTATCATTAGTTTTAAATTAGACTCATATATAAACAATAGAGAAAATGATAAAAGCAAATTGTTATTCATTTAGACTATATCAAGTGTTTTGTAATCAAATTCATTTATTATAAATTGATGTATTCTAATTATTTTTCGGTTTACAAATTAAATTGAAACTGTTCCAATTGTGAATTTTGTTTATGCACGAATTTTGTATTAATTGATTTAGAAATAATTCATGCTATTCTGGGTTTAGAATGCTATTCTATAATAAATAAATCTAAAACAGAACTCAATAAGTGTTACTTAATTATTTAAGTTCTGTTACATCATTGATTAGATTTTTTAGACAGTCACGCTTCATTTTTTCTTTTATTTATCATTCTTTAATAGATACAATTTTTCAAACTTAGAGTAATGACTCATTGTTATTACTTCTTTATGTTTTTTTATTCCTCTAGAATTTTTTGAATTTTCGATTTTAAAAAGTAAATATTCATAGATAATCAATCATTACGATAATATTCCATATTCATTTGTATTATTAAAATGTATAATTACCTTACTTTTTTTTAAAAATATGATTTTTTATTGATCAGTTCAATTAATTGAATAATTAGTTGCTTGATTGAATTTATTATTCAAACAATCAATCACTCTTAGATTATTATCGATTTATTGAATAGTTTACTAAAATATTATTAACGATTATTGCTTTATTAGTAGTTATTTTCCTACTGGAAAACTCTCGTGAGTTATCAGTGGTAATTTCACAAAATATATCATAGAAAAGTTAGATTTTTATTTTTCTTGTAAATCTCTAGTAGAGCAAAACACATTGCGCAGTAATTCAAATTTTTAAGTATATAATAATCGATAAGACCCGAAGGAAAATATTAGATCTGCTGGGGTTCTCCGATATCTCATGACCTTAAAGTTATTATCAGACACAAACAAGCATGCAGTTAATCATTAAAGTCTTTGACGTTGGAAATTATTATCTTATTACTATTCCATTTTTTATTGTGTCTTGCACTTGATTGTATATATTATACATAAATCTTTCACGGATAGGTAATAAAATAATTCAACGGTTTAAAAAATTTTTGATAAATCAATATTGTCTGGGACATAAATTTCTAAATAAATAAAAATGAAGAAGAGGAGTGAAAACTTTCTATGTATAATATAGAATTGGATTGATCGATGTATTGCTCTTGCTATAAATGTTTATTTTAATTTAAATAAATTAATTTTATTTTATGTTATAATGATAGAGATAAAATCCTTACTGGATCTTTCGATAAAACTGCTAATCTGTGGTGCGCACGTTCGGGCTATTTACTACACACTTTTTACGGTCATGATGCTGAAGTTGTGGTTGTCAAATTTGCTCCTGCACGAAATGAAATTGCCACTGGTTCGATGGATGCTACAGCTAAAGTTTTTCAACTAGCAACAGGTACCCTAATTATAACAATCAATAATAAATTGACAGATAAGTTACTTCTCAATATAAACGATAACTGATTCGTTAGCTAAAAAGTGGATGGTATATTGATGCAACCTTGATAAAAAATAATTAATTAACACACTTTTTTGGAGTAAAAAATAAAATAATTTAATCATCGAGTTAGTTCATGTATTTTTTGTAGCAATAAGTAATTGTACTTTTTGATTAATTGATATTTCAGGACACGAAATAGGTACTTTGAAGGGTCACATGGCCGAGGTTATTGCTCTCAACTATAATCGAGATGGTAATCAGATAATGACTGGATCTTTTGATGGAACAATTAACTTGTGGGATTTGAGGACCTTCAAGTAAGCTTTCTAGGTCACTAACGATATTAATGTATCCTATATTTTTAGTTATTAAATGATAATGAATACTTGTTAATTTTTTTTCTTTTCTAGAAGGACCAGTTGTTTGATAGGTCACGAGTCAAAAATATCAAACTGTCTTTACAGTTTTGATTGTTCCATAATTGCATCATCGTCATTGGATAAGACTGCAAAAGTATGGGATGTACGTATGAGTTCTTGTCTTGGAACTTTAACAGGCCACGAAGATGAAGTTTTAGATGTGGCTTTGGATAATCAAGGATTAAGATTAGCCACTGCAAGCAGTGATGCTACGGCAAGAGTTTGGGACATTTCTGGAGATTTCCAGGAGCTTGCAGTACTTGAAGGTCATCGTGAGGAAGTTTCCAAAGGTAGTTAAAGTGATTAAATAATAACTTTAATTAAGCCATTTAGTAATTATCCTTTTGATGCCAAGAAATAACCATTCAACATTATTTTAATCTATCTATTCAGCATACTTTGTATATTAAGGACATACTAAATATTTTTTAAGTAATTTTCATTATCGCACACTTAGACCGTTTCGACTTTTTCATTAATTGAAAGAATTTTCAACTTTTATATTAATAATTTTTTCGTTAAAAATGTTTTAAAGTTTTACGAGAAAGCTTCTATTTCAATTGTTTATCTAGTATAAAAATAGAAAAAATTCTTTCAACAAAAAATAATAAATGAAGTGAAATATCAGACTTTTATCGGCCCAAGTAGTGCCATTAAAAGTTTCAACAATGATTAGTTTGCTAGTTATGAGAATTCAAAGTTTACAAACGACTCTTGTTGCAAATCACACTTTTTCATATCTTTTTCTTTAATCATAGTAATCCAATTTATAGTGATTTAAATTCCTTACATCTACCATAATTATCTCAGAATTAGTGATAGTTCCTCTATTTTTCAATAGTTTGCTTCAGTCCCAACGGAAGTAACTTGTTGACTTCATCTCTGGATAGAACAGCTCGTATTTGGTCCACCGAATCTGGTCGTTGTGTTCAAACTTTAGCTGGGCATACGGATGATGTTTTCAGCTGTGCATTTTCCTATAATGGAGACACGGTAGTTACAGCTAGCAAGGACAACACATGCACTATCTGGAGATGACTGGATTGGTTTCAAGTGCTACCATAGCTCTTGTTGATTATTTTGTTCCTTATTTATATTTTATATTTTTTTATTCTCTAATCAAAATGGTAAATATTTTATGATGACTCATAAAAACATGTTAGCAAGTATACCAAGCACAAATATTATTGAAAGAACTAGGTTTCACATAGTAAATAATAAACTGATAGCTTTGGAATAACATAAATCTAAGTGATTTCCAATAAATTAAATTTATTCAAGTATTATTATGTATTAATATCAATTAGCTTATTTTCTACTTAAAAAATTATTATTCAGTAAAGATTTTAAAGACTTTAATGAGATAAATATTGTGATTTATAAGGTTCAACCTAATCAATATTGGTGTTAATTGTTGTTATTATTACAACATTTTTGTTTTCCAGAGATATAAGCTTTAGTGGTTATAATTGATAAGTTATTTTGCTCATGCAAACGTCACTCTAATAAAATATGTCACAAGCGTCTTAATCAGTTGTGCAGGAGCTAATCAGCGTTTTTTAAGGTCAACTCCTTCATGAGATTACTAATGATAATAACGATTTGGTAATAAAATGAGGAAATATCAATGTAGCTGTGATACCAAGCATGCATATATTTATATTTACTTTATAAGTGAATATATCTACTTTGCAATTAAATATTTAAATTCAAACAATATGTTAATATACATATAAAAAATAAAAAAATTATTCGACATTTGATCTACCATTCTTAAATAATCTATTTAAAATTTACATTTCAATGACTAAATTAATCATTTTAGTTGACAATGAAAATTCAATGTTCAATATATCCTTTATACACCAGCAGTTCATTTCTGTTATGTCATTAATTTATTTATCAATCACATTTACTCACAACTGTTTCCATACAACCATTATTCACTAATTAATTTAGTTTATTTATTTCCTTAATTTATGAAGTTTAAAATTATTTAATTCATTCATTGATCATTCTTTTTTAGCATTATTTTAAATGGTAGAGAATGTATGACTGGTTTTTTTTTTTTTATTACTTTATTACATAAAACAAAGTGCTCTTGAAATGAATGATTGGAAGCCACTTCCCAGTTATTTCCATTATTTAATATTTATTCATATTTTTTGTTTTCGTAAAATATTTTCATAAATAAATATCATTTAAATAATTAAGATTCTTATCAAGCTCAATTGTTTAATTATGGATTTATCATTGTAGGAAAAAATTATTAATTGACATTTAGATAATATCTCATTAATATGAAAATGTTAAGAATTATTTCCGTTTCCTTGCTTTATAGCTGACTTTTTGGCATTTTTTTGATAGTTAATGAGTAAAAAAAATTTATAAAACTTGAAATATGTTTTTGTAGTAACTAGAAAGTGAATCTGAATTTGGAGAGAATTTTTCGAAGAGATTTTAAAGTTTTAATACTGATAAGAAAACTATGTATCATGCATACCCTTTCTAAATGTGAATTGAAAATAGTTATTTTTTAAGTGCATCGACCGGTTGGACAAGTTAAAGCTGTAAAAGAAATAATGAGTGGGAAAATGGCCTCGACTTGAGCAATTGGAGCACTTGCACGCAATGGGTTATCACTCGTTAATAATATTTATCCCCTCACAAATTACTGTTTTCATGGACACCTCTTCTCTATTGGTCATTGATCATTCAAGTCTTACACGCGATTGGTTTATCACTCTAATTCTTCTTTTTGTCAACTCCACTCTGCTGAAGAAAAAGCTTATAAATTAACTCTTTCCGGCTCCTATGACACATTCCTCAATAGTCATTCGTTGAGTTAAAGTTTCTTTCATATTTATTTTACTCTCTACATTCTATTGTCAATTAATTTGATTTATTTAATTACAACTCATTCAATTATTCATTTATTTGTACAGTTACTTACAAGTTTTTTTCATTGAGTTTTTGCATCAAAGCAGAAAGTTTTTGTTATAGAACTCACTAAGTGTACGTTTTATTGAGATGGATGCATTAAAAAATGTGAAGAATAGTACTACCACCAATGGCCATGGACCACTTAGTAGACCTAATGAAAATGAATTTTTGCATAGTAATGTCAAGCACATTAGTCACACTGCGTAAGTATACTTTATGTTTCATTTCAAGTTTATTTTGAATATATAAATTCAATGTGAATTTTATCATTTTTTTATGACGAAAAAAATTCTATTTAAATTATTTATCAATATTTTTCAGGCTTAAATTAAATTCTAATGATTCAGTGACTTATCAGTATGTCAATGATGACATTTAGCTATAAATCTATAATAGCTATTGGAACTCTCTAACATGTTCTTACTCAATACTATAACAATATTCACATTAATCATCAATTCTCCAAAAGCTAATTCCTATAATAAAATTACCCACACTTTTGGATGATTTTATTATAGCCATAGCAAGCTTCAATTCAATTCAATAAAGCTTCCGTTATTAACACACTAGCAAATCCTAAATGAAAAAATAATATCCATCAATAAAAATTTTTCCAATAATTCATCTAATTGATGTAAAAAAAAAATAACTTTCGTAAAATTTTTAAAAATAAATGACGAGAAATCAAAGTTTCCAGTGAATGAGTTAATATTATTAATTTATTAGCCTACAGGGAGATAAAATAATCGATGTGGAAATACAATAATAACCACCGAGAGTAGACTATTGTGTAGATGGGGTCATTAATTATTTTCCATCGGTGTGCAAAGCTCGATGGTAAAAGCCGTTAATTCGACGAGACGTTGCAAGCAGCTTTTCACCAATGAACGAAATCGAGCGGGACAGAATAGCGTGTGCAAAGTAGAAAGAGAAATTGCATAGAAGGATAGTGAATATAGAAGTTTTGGGGAAAAGGGTTAATATTTCTCATTTAACACGTTGGAGAATTGAAGTAGGACAGATAGGTCTAAAAAGAGAGATAGAGAAGACTATGTGGTTAAAGTTTCCAAGCAGTACATAACTAATTTGCTATTCTCTCATGTCTCATAACAATAGTCGAGCATGACGTATTCAGACTAGGATTATAATTATACCAGCCAATAGTTTATATCGTCAAATTATCTCATAGGTGCAAATCTCTATTTTATGGCTTTATATTAATTCATTAAGAAGTTCCATCGTTTAATAATATTGTCAAATGTTGGTTTATTTATTTATTCATTAATAAGAAAGTTCGTTTTATCGAAGAAAATTGTTTCAAATAATGAAGATATTTTTTATTGTTATAGTTTTGTCCCAGTTTTCTAAGAGTAAGACTTTGGAGTAAACCTGTGGCGGTTTTTGAAGACCTTTAAGAAAGTTTCTGTATTGAGTAATTTTATTTTGAATTACTGCAGATGAAATATCCTTTATAAACATTTATATCTTAAGATATTTAGTTCATCATAGAATTCATTAAAATTTTTTCCTTCAACTTTTAAAAATACTTTCTGAAAATAAAAACCAATATTATAAATTATATTCTGAAATTTATATTCTGAAATTGAATGTTAATAAAAATTTTGTAGAGGCTGTTTATGATCCAAAATCAATTTAATCCTTTGGGATATTTTACCATTCATCAATGAATTTATGTTTTCGACGAACGGTAATATTTTCATCAAAAATGCATCCATTAAAAGGAAAAAATCATGAACCGTCAAATGTAATATCATTTTTGCTTTTATCACACCTAATACTACCATTTTTCAATGTTGAATTGATATTAAAAAAGCTGATTTTAATCTTTTTTTACTTTAATTGATTACTCCATAAATTCGATTATTATTTAAAACATTAAAATGCATAAAAATAATTTCACAAAATATAAAGTATAATTACAAGTGATGAGTGTAAATAAAATAAAAGTAATTGAAGTTAAGTAATTATTTCTCTGAAAAGTATTAGCTTGAAGCTCAATGAATTCATGAGCTATTCAGAGTTTTGTCAAGCGTAAATGTCGACGGGTTGAAGTAAATATATGACAATCAGACATGTTTCAATGTGTTCCAATGAGAGTCACAGCTCAACGTAAAGCAGAAGGTATGTAGCAGGAGATGAGAAAGCGTCGAGGAATTACGTATCAGTACCCATGTATATGTATGTACAATGTACTGGAATATACGACGTGAAACGATCTAGCTCAAGATCCTAGCTCGATTCTTGTAAGGATTTTGTGCACAAATGTGCACTAGTTTACTAGTAAATGTGCACGATTGTTAGGTATGTAGGCAACAAGCTGGTTTGTTACTCGAGCATGAAAGCTGAGAGATATTGACGTTAGGTTTCACTAAATATTTCAATTTTCATTATGTCTTGACTTTCATCATTTAATAAAATATATGAAACAATAAAATGAACATGGGATGCATTTTTTAGTTGAATGAGAAGACTTTTAGTCATTCACTTTTCTTTTATACTGCTTTCAACAGAATCTTTAAAAGCACTTTTGTAGTTAAATTGTCTAAAAATATCAAAACCTTTTCATAAATTAAAAATAGAATTTAAGGTAATATAACTTTGGATGTAGGTTATTCAATTATAATCATATTAGAATAAATTTGCGATTGTTCTTTTAATATTTATAACAGTTGGAAATAATCGAAATGTGGAACTTTAAAAGCATACAAAAATTCAAATTAATAGATCAGTCAATTTTGATTTAAAAATTTTCATTATTTCTCTTTTGGAAGCGCTGGATTGAATAAACTAAACGGTCAGTCAAAAAGATTTTTTAATTGAAAAATATTATGGCAGATATTTATATTGGAGAATTGAATTGGGCCAATGAAAAAAGTAGTACAGCTACAATTTGAATCAAACTGGAAAGTAATGAAAAATATGTAGAATAAAAGAATATAGAAAAATTTTATAATAAATAGATTGAAAATAATTCATATCATATCAGAAAAACTCTTAAATTATTTTTATTTATGTAAAAAGTATTTTTTAATTTTATTTATCTATTGAGTTGTTACGACTGAACAATAATTTGAAATCACCAAATAAAACACTCGAAAATTGAAGTTGAAAAGTTGATCAATTATAAATTACGGATTATGACCCCGGTTATCTTAAATAACTTAATTTATTTTAATTGATTACAAATTCACTCTGAAATTGAATTTATACATTCAACATTTCATTCGTTAATTTAAATAACTTTTTTTACTAATTTATTTATTTGTTTTCAGATATACATTTGAAGCTCTTCAAGAATCTGCCAAATACCTCTTAGACCGTATTACAATCAGACCAAAAATTGGAATAATTTGTGGATCAGGAATGAGTGAGTATTGAGTAATAAGCTTCAAAGCGCTTCGAGTGCTGTAATAATTGACACACTTGAAAAATATAACTTTTCAAGGATCTTTTTGGGGTTTTATTATTGTTATTATTTTTGTAATTGTTGTTGTTGTTATTTGGTGGTTCTAGTTTGCATGGTTTTATTTTTTATTAATTAAACATTCGAGACGCTTTAAACAATTATTTATATATTGTTAAAAATAGGAGAATCTGAACAAAGTGAGTTGTGTCCAGGTTCGATAGCGGATGCTTTAACAAATAAGCAAACTTTTCCCTATGAGGAGATTCCTCATTTCCCAAAGTCCACGGTCAAAGGACATGTGGGTCAGCTTGTGTTTGGATTCCTCGAAGGCGTTCCAGTCATGTGTATGCAAGGAAGATTTCACTACTACGAAGGCTATCCTCTTTGGAAGGTAAATAATGTATTTATTCTTCAGATTTATTCCAATGTATCATACTTCCGCTTCTGGAAATTCATTTAAAATCTACTTGTACATTGAGTTTGTTGACAAAGCTTTTTATTATCACAATTTACTTATGAAGCTCATAAAAGTGTAAATTAATTGAGTTGCAAAATTTCATCAAAATAAATTGACAGCTTGTGATATAATTTCAGTGTGCCATGCCAGTGAGAGTAATGAAACTTGTGGGGGTAACACATCTGATAGCCACTAATGCGGCTGGAGGTCTCAATCCTGACTACAAAGTTGGTGATATTATGTTAGTAAGGGATCATGTGAACATAATGGGATTTGCTGGAAATAATCCACTCCAAGGACCTAATGATGACAGGTAAATTTATTTATTATTTACTTCTAGGTTGCTTTAAAAAAATTCTAATATCACTGAAACCATACGAATTTATTCATGAGATCTCGATGGTTAGACCCAACTCAGTGATGTCCATGCATAATATCTCAGATGAAGTCACTTTTGATGAAAAAATTATAATAAATCTCGACAATCTTAGTATCAGTTATCTTTGTATTTTTTCATTCATTTTTAATGCAACCTGTATAATACTACTAGACCTTATTTTAATACACAGAAAAACTTTTTATTGGAACATAAAAAAAAAAGGTTTTATTCAATGCAATACAGTTCAAATAAATATTCAGTGGATACAATAAATGGTATTTTTAAAAATATTTTATTAATGTTGTTAGTAGTCAAATAATATTGTGATGATTTTTTATATCTTTAGATAGACTTTAAAACAGTTGAAAAATCAGTAAGAGAGAAAATTAATTCATTCTCTTCCAACAACTTTGGAATTTTGGTTGATGAACTGTTTGCACTAAAATATAAAGCAAAAACTGATTGGAATATTTACCTAGTGAAAGTCGTCACCATCAAGACGCCAAGATTGACTCAAGAGAAATATAAGATGAAGAGGAAATCAGAATTTTCCGTTTCCCCTCACTCTTTCTTCAATTTACTTTTTCGATTTTATTTTATATAAGCTCATATATTCCTCTCTTCATTTCTTATCTGTTATCAATGTTGTTCTTTTGTCGCACTCGTCTTGATATTAATGGACTTGAATCTCCCCTGGAATTTACCTCATCTCCTCCACAAGTTCAAACCACACCCGTTCTCTGGAATTACTCTGTGGACTACCGGAAATTCGATTTATCCCTAGCTCATCCTCTTTTCGTCTTTGGTCGCGACAGAAAGAACACAATTGTCTCAAGCTTCGACTTCTTTGTTCTTTCTTGTCTTATTGTTGTTACAAGTAGCACAAATAATCGTTTGTAAACAATGAATTGATTTATTCAAACTACAGATTACCTAAATTAATCAGTTTTTATTTGAAAAATTAATTTTCAAGCAGTAAATTCTTTAATAGATTTTTTGTTAAAAAAAAAAAATTGTAGTCAATATCTATCGTTAATTATACCATAAAAACTTGCTGTTAAATTTTTTAGCGAAAAGGAACTTTAGTAAATTATAATCACGTCAAAAACTAAAGTTTGCAAAATACTTTAAGTATTTTATCGATCTTTCCATGGCGACAAAGTTTCCTCTTCATTACTTAAATATCGAAACCCCGATACTTCTTGTAAGTAATTCTTTCAACTGATATCCAATAATAAATCAAATTATGCTTCATCTTTGTCGAAAAACATTTAATCAATAGAATGAAATATTTTTTTTTTTACAACTTGATACAAATTGTATTTTAATGAAACATGTTTTGATGATAAACAAAAAAATTCTCTTAAATATATGAGAATAACATGTTATGTTTATTTTAAAGGTTTGGACCCAGATTCTTGCCAATGAACAAAGCTTATGACCGCGAACTTTTGAAGATTGGAGAAGAAGTTGCTGCAGAAATGAAAATTTCCGACATCATTCATAAAGGCGTTTATACTTGTCTTGGAGGACCCAATTTCGAAACTGTTGCAGAACTTAAGATGTTGAGAATGGTTGGAGTTGATGCTGTTGGTAAGCTAAATCATTAAATACTCTTATCTCCGTATTTTCATCATGCACAGCTGTTTCAAAATTAATAAATGTTTCTACTAAAGATCAACGTCTAAAATAATTCTAAATTTTTTTACAAAGTAGCACAATGATGAAGTACACAAAAATCCAATTAATTAAATGTTTTGTAACATCACAAATCAATTTCCAGGAATGTCCACAGCTCATGAGGTCATAGCAGCTCGTCACTGCAACTTAACAGTGTTTGCATTTAGCTTAATAACAAACCTCTGTGTTTGTGATTACGATTGTCTGGATGAAGCCAATCACGAAGAGGTCATGGAAGTTGGACGATCGAGACAGCCAGTTATTGCGGAATTCGTGAGACGAATGGTCCATCGTTTACAAAGCTGAATTGATAAAGAATAAGTGGGTAATTTTTTAATCTAAGTTTAATTAGTTTCCTAAACCATGTAATTTTAATAGCAATAATAATTAAAAAATATTTTATCCACAGATAAAATGGAAGATCAATAAAATAATGAGGAAAACAGGTGACACAATAGGGCAAGTAATTTATATTATTGTTTCAAGTCCATAATCACATGCGATTGGATAAATAGAATTGGAGATCGATCGATGCCACTTCCAGGTCTCTGCATCTGAAAAGACCTATCGTATTTTCGTACTCCTGAATAAAATTCTTCGCTAGGTACCCGAAGATCTTGAGTACGAAGAGAAAATTCTCGTAAATCGTATTTAATTTAACGCATGAGCAGGTGGTAGTTGCAGTGAAAAAGCGTATCTAGGAGTTTCTTGGGAGGAAAAAGAAGGGAAAAGTGTAGAGGGAGACTCGAAATTATCACACGATCCTTAGGTCTTTCTTCACATTTTTTTTTCAGTTCTCTTTTTCTACTTTTCTTTTTTCTCACCTTTTTACTGTTCCTGTCTCAAGGAGAGACAAGAGCAATGGGGTGGCTTCGAGGTGCGACGAGCTTACGATCCGTAAAGTCTTGCCTTATCTCAATTCAGTTTCTCTGCATCCTCTCGATCTTTCAGTGATTTCTTGTACGCAGCAGTAGATAAAAAGATTGATTATCATTTTTTGTATAAATATGTACACTATGTCAAGTTTTAAAAGCTGCTCTCAGCATTCTGTATGGCTTTTTGCCAATTTTTGTCAGATAGTGAAGTAAATTTCCTGAATGTGGAAAATTTTTTGTAAATTCTAGGTTTCTATGTATAAGAAAAACATTAATTAAATTTTAAAGAGTAATTTTAAATGTTATTTCAATAGATATTATGATTATTATTTGATTATAAAATAGTAAGATTATTTTAATGAAAATTGTAATAAGTAAAAAAAATATTTCGACCGTAAGATAAAAAATGTGTATACGTGACAATTATTGATCACAATATTTCTCAAAGTTTCAGTATCTTTCTCCTTGACTTATCTACACTTCTAACCACTTCAGAGAGGATCAGAAGAAAAATTGACTTAATGATCCTCTAATTTTCGCTCTTGCACGGCAAAGTCATCAGTTTCTTCTTCGTTACACTCTTCCGCCACACCCTTTCCGTTCTTGTTAATGTATTGACGTTCTCCTTCAATAAATCCCACTCGAAAACGTTCCTTATGGCTTATGGTCTCCATCTTTCCTTTCTTCTCGTTTCTTTCTCTCTTACTTACTCTATAGACCAGCACGATACTTCATCTCTTGCACACTCCTTTTTACTGGATTTTCACCTCTTCTTCTTCCGGTTCTGACGCCGGTGCAGCCGTTATTACAGCCGTGAATTAAATTATGATTTGACAGGCAGGAAAACTTACCTTCCTTCCTTCTTTTGCGTCCTCATTCCTCTTTGATTCTATTCGAATAGAACGATAAACATAAATGTTGTTTATGTTATGTGCTAATATTTCTCAAAAATAGCTGTTTTATAATATATTCAATAAAGTTTTATTATCAGTAGTTAATTTATTTATCAAAGTTGATGTTATTTCAAAGGATATTTGGGTTAAATTTTTTTTTTTTACTTTTACATTAATAAATATATGATCTATGATGTTATGCTACAAAATGTTAAAGGTGACAGGTTGAAACAAGAAGTATTGTTTTTTACAATTTTTTATATTTTTCGTATTTTCAAATAAATGAAATTATCTATTCAGAAATTTTTATGTTAAAATATTTTTTATTTATGTTTACACTAGATATCTTTGTGTATGAGAAACATTTTGAAATAAAATACTTGGACTTGTAATGTTGTAGGTAATGTGAAGTGAAACAAGATTAGTTGTGAATAAATTGTAACATAATCTTTTTGAATCTTTTTTTCAATAAAAATAAATTTATTTTGTTATACGATTTATTTTAAATCATGTAATTGAAAAAAAGGCTATAATAATGTCATAAATAAATCTATAATTGAAATTAATTCATTATTGTAATTTAATAACTGTCTGTTACAATTTATATCTATTTATCAGGGAAGATTCATATCATATTTAGCATAATTTCAAATTATATGGTTTATTGATATTTAATGAGGTCACTTATTATTATATTTTATAAGTAAGGTCCGTATACGTCTCTATTTACTTCGATACTGAAATATATAAATTTCATCAAACAGCATCGACGATTCTGAAAGCATAAAAATGGGAATAAAAAAAATTATTTACACAGAAATGTTATATTATTTATTGATAAGTAATAATGTTTCGCTCTAGTGAAATAATGCTATTAAAAATAATGAATAAGGGGATGAATTTCATTTTTTATCGTAAGATTTTTTTTTATTCTGTTATATAATAAATCACGAAGGAGTTAACACCGTAAATCATGCAGAATTGATTGAACTGCCGATTCTTTTTCTATAAAAGACCCACTACCACTACTAGAATATTTATCGGCTTATTGGTTTTCATTGAATTCCTGCACTAGTCGATTAAATCCCCATGTAAATAATTTTACTCAAGAGTATTAATGTAATACACTAGAATTAAGAAATAAATACTTCAACATTTACATTTATTCCATTAATATTATCATCATATTTCCTTTTAATGCCGTTCATATCCTCTTATAACTTTATTTTGACAATCACAATAGTAAATAAGTGGCTTATGTTACAAAAAATAGTTTCCATTCGAAAAAATTTAAATAATCACCTTCTTTTCTAAAGTTTAATCTATACTAATTAATATAATTTTACAAACTATGTCATTACATACAGTAAATAATTAAATAATAAAACAAATAAATAAACCATATTTATATTACACAGTTAAGCTTAGAAAATTATTTAAAAAATCAATTCTGGTCAGCAATTAAATCATTAAATTTCATTTAATTGTTTGATTGACTCTGATATCGAAAATTTTAGATAAAACCAAAAGTTACAGTCGAGACAAAATTACTATTTTTTAACGATTTCCAATATCCATTTGAATAAATTAAAAGTCAACAGTAAACAATAGTTTATTGAATTTAAATATTGTTGTAACTTAACTGATTGAAAAAATGTATTTTATTTAATAACGCGGATAACTTATCATCGTTAACAAAGTAGAAATCACTAATATCAAACGGTTAAATATTCGTTGATTGCGCGCGCTTTGCTTTCAATTGTCGCGCATGCGCATCCCTACCCTTGACTGGCTATAGCTTCCTTTGCCTTTTAGACGCTTGCAGCAATCAAAATGCTTTCAGTCCACGCGTGCACTTCGTGACGTTAGGTGTGTAGTTCGTCGTTCCATTAAAATCTACATACCGGTCTCTATTTAATTCGTCGGTTTTAAAGTGAAGTGTCAACATGGTTAAAAAGTGATTTTGTTACAATTAAGTGTCGCATTAGTGTGTAATCATTGTTTGTGATAGTGATTAATTTATTTGAACGCGTTTCAAGTAAAAGTTATTGGAAAGGTTTTTGCTGAGAGGTGAAGTCGCAATTCTTCGTAAAAATTCGCGAAATGTTCGTGAAAAAACCGTTAAACGAGATGTGGCGTTAATCGAACGGCATTCAATGGCGATTATTTATACTTATATTCGTCGAAGGGACCAATTTTTAAGTTCTTTACGTTTCACTTTGACGAGGAATTTATTTTAAAGGTGAAATATTATTTTTTTTAATTCACTACTAAATTATTCCATTTTTATTCAAAATTACTTCGATTCGTTTTTTTAAAAATAATTTATATTTTATTTTAATAACGAAAAATTAATTGATCATAAACGAGTAAGGAATAATAACGAAAAAATAATCAGTAAAATAAATCAACATTGACTTTGTTCATTTGTTACTCTAATAAAATATTCAATATTTATTATTAATAATAAACATTAATAAAGGTCAAAGTTATATTGGAGTAGAAATAAAAATAGTTCTTATGCTCCAAAAACGCCATAATCGAGTTTCGGATCTGACACAATATTTTTTTTGTATGTAATTATTTGATTGATAATTAGTTTATTAAATAGATGGTTTTAAATGTTTTATTTAGTAAAGGTCAATGACTGATTGTCACTTAAATATTTTTCCGACTCAATATTACGTATATAGAGCAAGCTAATGACGCATTCCAATTGCAATCGAAACAGAGACAAGGTAGAGGTCGCGTTTTGTTTTCGTGACATTCTCGGAATTATTCTGTTGGCGTAAGACTTATATGTTGATCGTACATTGTTTTTTCTCGGAAATTGGCATCGAGAAATTTACTTGGAAAAAAAATTTTGTTTTTGTGATCTATATTTTCTGACAGATTTATTTACGTATTATATGGAATATTCGAAAGGATGTTTTATTAAATATATTATTTTCTGTTTTAATTACAACAGCGAGAGTGGACGACAAAAAAAACAAATTTCAATTAAAAGTTGAAATATTGTAAAACTTTAGAAATAATTTCTAAAACAAAGTTTGCATAATTAAACGTCTGAACATCGATTCCATGTGAGTAATCTTCGATTAAAGTTGCTGTACAGAAGATTATTGAATTATAGAGAAAGTTTTTTCTAATAAACTGACAATATTTTCTCGAGCTAATAATTGTCTTTGGTGATAACTCTTGGCTTTTGACAATTTTGAAAATAAATAGTTCATTTAAAGTTAAGAAGTTGAATGTTGGAGGTGAAAGATTAAGGGAACGAATAAAAAGAAGGTGGTAGGAGATTTAATGGTGCATACTAATTGGTCGTGACACCCAGTTGGGGACATGTCAAGACTGAAGAATAAACCGGTGGCCGGTTATGTCACGAACCGGAACGCAGATCGTAACAACATTTAAGAGGAATTTTGTAGTGAGATCCTCACGTAAACATCGAACAGCAAACGAGAAGTAGTATAGAAGAGAAAAACAAAAACAAGAAGTTCAACACAAAAAGAGGAACATTTTGCTTCCTGAACAACCGGAAGTCATATGCCCATACACGCTCGTAAAACGGTAAATCAAAGGAAAACATCCTACTCTTTGTTTTGTTTCTATGTTACCTCGTTTTTTCTCCTCACGGTTGTTATTTTTGAGATAGGTCTTGGTTTTCATGCCATTTTTTCCCCCATATTATTTTCTTTTGCGTGATTTTTATTTTTTGCATTAATATTCATAATTATTTATCGTGAGTCTAAAATTACTTCTTTTCTACAACATTTTTAATTATTATTGTTGTTATTGTTATAATTACTTACACGAATTATTTTTTTATGCATCCATTTTGCATGTGGCGTATTTATACACGTATTCATTAATATTCTGAATTCTAAAATTTGCATTAGTTTTTATTGTTTGTTTATTTATTTTATTCAATGGATTACATCTAGTATGATATTTTTAGCAGTATTTTATGCAAGATATATTTCAAATCCACGTTGTACTTCTATTACCATTCTTTTGTGTGTTATTTAATTGACTATGACACCATTTGGAGTTGTAAATTCACTTATTGATGATTTTTTTAAAACTTCACTATTCGTTGTAGTTTCAAAGTGACCGTTATTTTTCATTACCTCGGTATTGTTTGTTATTACTGTCATCAATCATTTTTTACTTTCAATTTTATTTAACGAATATTTTCACTCGAATTTTTTATTCACTTCAAGCTCACACTTTTTTAAAATCTATTTCAATGATAAACTGTACTTTTCATTATTCTTCACTCCATCTTCTATTTTTCTTTATTAAATTGATTTCTATTTTAATTAAAATATCTCATTTTTTCGAACAATTATTTCATCAATTCCACAATCTATTTATTTTTAGTGAGACTGACTTATTATCATCAAAATCCTCTTACTAAATATGCACGAATTGTCAATTGAAATGTATGTTTCAATTTTATCTACTTCCATTCATTAATTCAGGCGTCTGTATTTTTATTGATACTCTCTCTCTCTCTCTCTCTCTCTCTCTCTCTCTCTCTCTCTCTCTCTATAGATGTATCGTCATTGTTTTTGTGACATTTATCAACACCAGTATATATTCCGTGACACAGATATATATGTGATTATTTATGTATTGCTTTAAAACTCTCCTAATTAGCTTTTATCAACGACTGTAATTACAAAGAATACCTGCCAAGGTTACGTTCGACCTTCACAGCTGTGTTTACATTCACCACATAGTGTCAGTGACCTTAACAAGTTCTACAATCATATATCACATAATAATGTACGTTGTAACACGCTGAAATCAAGATTTACATGATTTCTTTCTTTTTTTCTGCTCTTTTATCATAATGAAATTAAATTGTCCATGTCATGGGAACAAATCTTTTTAATATTTCTTCAGAGTTTTTAACGAAAACTGATAATAAATAATACGTGACATAATAGATGAGTAATAATAAATTATTGTGAAGCCATTTTTCGTGCTATTGGATATGTTTGTTATTTATAAAAGTATAATAAAAATAATTATTATTTTAAAATAATAGTAAAACATATGTTTTTAAATTTAAATAACTACAGTGGAAAGTTTATTCATTTTATTATCATTTGTTGATAAAAAAAATTTTTGTTTTAATTTATTATTTTCTCTCTACTTTGATAAAATATTGTGGATAGTTTTGAATGTGATTTGATAAAGTTAAATCATAGATATAATCTGTGATCAATCATTTGCATTTAAATTATTTTGAATTAAATTTGGAATGTAATTAGCAAACTTAGTATAAAATATAAGATATAAAATAGAGTAATGTTTGTGATGTTAATATAATTAATTTTACTACCGTAACATAGTAATATTGACTGTGTTAACAAAGTTAATTTTACTGGCGGAACAGTAATTTGTATTGGGCTATGATAGTTGATGCTATCAAACATCGTTAAAATGACGATGATATGGACAAAGTTTATGTTGATATATTCTACTCTTTAAATTTTTTGGGAATCATTTATGTTGATCATAACGAAACTGAAGTTTTTAGGTTCATTACATACAATTCATGCAGCAATTTATTCAATTTTGATAGATATAAACTATCATTAGATAGTATTAATAAAACTGAAGACTAATTATTATTATAATAATTAAAAAATACAATTATCAATCACTATTGTTTGAACATTTAGAAATTGAAACATAATTAAACAATTGGCTAAGTAAATAATTTGTTGTAACAAAGATTGGATTAGAATGGCTTTAATTAATGCAATAAATGAATTATTATAAATATTGATTTTAATATTTTATTATTAAAAAGAATGTTAAAGATCGTGTTTAAAGTTTTTAATAAATTCTTGTTGAGATTATTTTATTTATGGTCACTATAAACATGGACTTAATTCTGTTTAATGTACTATTAAATTACATGTAACGATAAATTTATTTTCTGCATAAATTTCCATATATTTTTACAACATATATTATTTAATATTGGCTACATCAATCAAATTTATAATAAATAATCAAAGTAACTTAGAAAATAGAGTTTATATTTATGTTGTAGCAGTAAAAATGGTAAATATTATGATGTTAATTAAATAAAAAAATGTTATGTAGTAGTGATATAAATTGTATTAAGTAATATTTAATTAATTGAACCAATGAAAAATTATTATTTTGGAAAATTTGTGATTTTAATGAAGACTGAAAAAGTTTGAATTTATAATTGACGTGATCTAGTAGAAAACTCTGTAATTAGTCTGACAAAATATTGGAAATTCATTTTCGATTAATTAGTTGAACGATTTTAGATATTAATTTAATATTAATACGTATTTATAAATAAATAATTATTTGATTTTCTTTTATTTTGAAATTTTTTTATATTTTCAATATTTTGTTTCATTCAAGCGAAAATCGAATAATATATAGTACATCCATTCATTCTATATAAAATGCAAATGAAATCAGAAAATGCATTCGGCTGAGTTTCAATGATGAAAGTTACAAGTGGATTTGTGTTCACTCTCGCGCTTAGCTGTTTTCATTTTCGTCCTTTTCGCCTATTTCTTCTTTTCTTTACTTTTATTTTGATTTTTTATTCTCTCTCTCCCTCTCCTGTCTCCTCTCTTATTCTGTCGTTTCTTTTTCCGTTACTCCAATACTCATTCTACTTTTTCCCTCGGGCCATAAACAAGCCGGTTCCAACGCACGTCCAAGGTTATTGGTTTTTGCAAGAATCAGACGACATTTTCTATGGGTAGAACATACATACAAACATTTATTTACTATATATAAATAATCAATTTAATTTTCTTGTCTTTTTTTTTTCAAGTAGAAAAACTCATAAAACATTTTAATCAAAACGCAAATGAGAATAGAAAAACTTGAATATCTTTCTCATTACTTTCTGCTTCTATTTAAGTGTTATTGATTTCTATGAATTTATTTGCATAATTTAATTATAAATATTTGCATAATATTTTTAAAATTGTTAATAAGATACTAATATTTTTTATACTAAATTTCACTCAATTTATTTTATAATTTATTTTAATTATATCCTAAATTAGAACTTAGTGTTGTACAATAATTACACAAAAATTAAAGTCACAGTAATATTTATAAATTTAACATAGCATGCGAATCGAAAAATAAATATATTTGAGTACATTCCAAACTGTATTAAACCCATTTATTTCGAGAAAAATCTTGCATTCTATTTGTAGAAGAATTTATTCACATGCTTATATTTATATTAAATAATTCCACAGTAATATTTATTTAAATGATAAAGATTATGAAATAAATTTAATTATTGTAATTTTTCGAAAATTTCATTTGTAATAATAACTATTCCATACGTATTTAATTAATTAGATTATTTATAAAATAAATTATTCTCTGGGATTTCACGAAGTGAATATATAATTAACATAAATAATTTTCTTAATTCATTTCGATATTGTGAGAATATTTTATTACATCTGAATTGCTTAAATATAATATTATCTTATTCAAATTGATTTAAAATAATATAGAAATGAAATAGAGTAATTGCCAACATTGAGACAGGTATTTAAATTAAACTGTCAAGTATTAAGAAACAAATTGGTTAATTTTCTACAATTATAATTAACTTTATTGTTCATAACCAACTATTCATAGCTTCAGAATAATTCTAAAAATTTTATCATTTAAAATTTGCAATATTGTTTCATTAAATTCGTATATAAAAATTTGCAGCTGTGCCATTAGTACCCATGTTTATATACAAACATGAGCAAATATAAATTTAATAAATGAAATTAAGAAAAAAAAAAGATTTATGTTTTATCATATGCAAATATTTCTTGAAATATAAATTATTATTTCCTCGTAACTATATAATTCTTTTCCGTCAAATTACCTAATTATAAATATTTATAATTTTATTATCCCTCATAATTGTATATATACTCCACTCTATTATACATCATTATTTCATTATAATTTTAGCAAAAATAGAAAACAGAGAATTATTTTTAATACAATATGAGGATGAATTAAAGCTTACTAAATATCTAAATCAATGTTTAATGAATTTTTATTTTAATAGAAATAAATGAAGCAAGTTCAGATATTTTATTTTACATTTTTACCTTACATACTGAAAGCTTTTATTTACATTTTTTCAGTAAAATTATGTATTAAAATTTACTGTAAATTAAATAATTTCAACCAGTGATATCTGTTTGAGAAAAATTCTATATTTTATATGAAAAATTAATTAAACTTATCAATGGTTTTCAATATAATTATGAAGCAAAATTTTTTGAAAATGTCTAAAATAATTTCAATCTTTTAAATAGATTTTTTTCTATTAATACACTGATAAAAGAAATTTGTAATAATAAAGAAGACTTTCTAACTATTAAAAAATATTTCTTTACGATAAAATGAGATTTATCTATTATAAAACCACTAATGTGTTCATAATTAAGGCTTTTTTTTTTATTATTATATAAAATATTTATTAATAGTTAAAAAACATTGATTTTAATAATTAAAAAATTATTTTTTAACATTTATAAATATTTTCTATCAGTGTACTTAATGAATGTATTGACATTTATTTAAATATGGAAATGACTTGGTTACATTAATATTTTTTTTTCACCATGGGTAATGTTTTTTCCTTTTTTTTTTTCTTTTTTACTTCTTATTTACTCGTCATGCCTGTCACAAGCATAATCTCTCTACATCATGTAAAGAGTTTTTTTCCCCATAGAAAACATAGCTTCGATAATTTTGCGATGCAAACACTTCGATTATACATTTTTTTCCCCAAGGTGGGTGGAGCCCAGTGACAAGCTCGTCGCCTCGATCGATGCTTTCATTAAGCTCGCGGTATTAATTACTTGGTGGTTTTGCTTCATAACGCTGGTGGTTTTCTCTTGTCAATAGGTTGGTGCCTTGCTACTTCTCGTATAGTTTGATATCTCTATTCTATCACAAGCTTAAAAGCGATCATTCGAGATTGAAATACTATTATTTTAGCATCACATCAGTATCGAGACGATCAAGAAGCATGTATATATTGTAGTGTATGTAGATAAATGTGTGATGGAATTTCAGCTTTGTATAGAATTTCATTTTTGGTCCGATGGCTTTGGATCTCTATGACATTAACCGCATTCCTGATGACATCAGTCAACTCAGAATAAATTAAATTTTAATAGCTCAGTATCATCGTTTGTTTATCTGTAGGTACTTATGAATGACGAGAATAATGTGCAAATAATAATAATCCGAATTATGACAGTGATAAAATATGGGAAATTGTATTTCTGTATTATTGTTGATCTAAACGAAAAATTAACAACAAATTACTAATCATAATTATTATATTAAATTTTTAATAAGTGTTTAGAGATATTAATTATTTGTTTGATAAATGAATTAAAAATTCATTTTAATGAATATTAATTAAACATTTGATATTTAATTTTCTTTTTATTAAATGAATTTTACTGAATTCAACATTAATTTTTTTTAATTTAATAACATATTATTTTGTATGTTTATTCGCATTTCTATATCGTTAAGTGTTATAATATATATTATAAACTGAAAGCAATTATTATCTACAGTGATATTTGGTATTAATGCACAATTGATGTTTGTAATTAATTAAATTATTACTATAAAATAAGAATCGATATAATTTTTTTTAAATTTAATTATTTAAGATTGTTAGATTTCAATATTAATAGATTGAAAAGTGTGAAAAAAATATATAAAAAAAAAAAGATATTAAGATTAGTGGAGTAATAGTTGGAGTATGCAGTCATTGGATCACATTGCTTTAGAATTTATTGAATAACTTAATGTCGTTGAAAACCTGAAGAATAGCTTTTAAACCAGATTCAAAGTTAAAGTTGTCTTTGATGTTTAGCATAAACTTATTGTTAAAAAAAAAAAACATTTATTTATAATATAAATTGATAAAATAAGTTATAAAAATTTTTTAGTAGAGAAAATATTTGTAATTTTATATTTCTTCTGAAGATTTTTAATAAAATCTGGTTGGAATTGAAAAAAACTATTTTTTATTTAGAAGAAAAAATTTTTATCTGCAAAGAAATAAATGAAAATATTTTCAACGTTAAAATATCAGCATTTTATCTTGTTGACTTCTTACATTTTTCATTTTATAAATTGCAGAAATGATACTTTTACATTTTAATAACTGGAATTGTTTTAAATTAATCGATGTCTTTTTGTATGTCAAAACGAATAAATCATATAAAAATAACTACTGTGCTATTTTCGAATGTTATTGTAGTCTACAATTGAACATACAATTCTACAGATATAAGTCAAAATATAATAACTACTCTTTTATAATAAAACAATAAGAGTTATGTCGACATGATTATAAAGCTTAACTATCATCACATTGATATAAAATTTCGAATACAATAAAAGCATAACGTTTAAAAAGTATATCGTTTAACCGAAAAAATACAATAGAGTGCGAACATAAATTTTTAATTTTTTTTTTTTTATTTTGAAATTAAAATGAAAATTAGAAATAGGTTCTGAGTTGATTAAGCCGAACAAAACGTTTGTTGTGTATCAGGAAAGCAAGCGATTCGTGAAATTGGACAAAAATGTTTCGAGAAAAGCTTTTTTTCCTGTCAGGTTATGCATGGAAAAATCTCGGGTACTCTTGGTGAAAAACTAGAGCGAAATGTCTGTACTACAAGCACGAGTAGGATAAAAACTGTTACCAATATTCTTTCCAACCGAATCGTGTGCCGAAAACGAACTGAATAAAACTGTAGATGTACCAAAAATAGACGATGTAGTGTGAAAGCAATATAGATTCGCAATTTCGCCTCAACTCAATCTGTATTGTATTCTTCTTGTTCGCTTTTACTACCACTGTGCTAATTGCCATTAACGGGGAAAAAAAATCATATTGGATAGAAAAGATTTCTTTATTAGAAATTATTTTTATTTGTATACTATACATATTTATGATCTAATCAACAATCGTCTTCATCTTGATTTTTGGAAAAAAAACATTTAATTTTATTCGCAATAATTATTATTATTAAAAACAAAATAATTGAATAATAAATATTAAAATTTGACATAAACAAATACATTGAATTTAAAAGTGTAATGTTTTTCTTAAGAAAACAAGTAATGAAATTATCCTTTTCAAAATATTTCTGTTACTTCAAAAAATAGAAAAAGATTAAAAAAAAAGGGAGGAATGCCTATTTTATAAGAGAAATGAGGTTAAACTCGAATTCTAAACGATTAATCGATTTTTTTTTTATTAAAAAATGTGTTTAATTTTTAATAACCTTTTATTTGGATGCCGTAAAAAAAATCTTAATGGAAGATTAATCTCAATCAAAATACCTTAAAATAGTTTTTTATTTACATCATTAAATGAAAAATATAAAATGAATTGTAAACTATTTATTTGCTTTATTAAATAATCTCGACTATTAAATATTTTTAATTTCTTAAAATAAATAAATTAATGTTTTAAAACTTCTTTGTTCTCAAACATTTAAAATATATTAGCTAGATCACTCTTAATTATTCCTTTTATATATTCTCAACTCAGTGAATTGTTAAAAAATATTCATTGTATATAATGTAATTAAGTAACAGTTAAATACGAATAATTAAATTTTAAATTGTTACCAAAGATTTTTAAATAGTTATTTCAATGAATTATTTATTATTTCAGTAAAATAAAATTCTAAAATTATAAAGAAATATTTAATGGATTTTAATTAACTAAATAATAAATATTTTATTTATCTTCATTGACTAGATATTTTAAAAATAAAATTCAATAAAAATATTTAAAGTTGTCTAACAGTTCATCGGCTCAGGCAATTTAAACTAAAATTGCATTAAATTTGTCAAATGAATAAAGTTAAAATTTCAAAAGCATTATTAATCAAGTCCTGATCGGATAATTGTCAAATTGATTAAATAAAATGACATTTATTAATATTGAACTGAAATTGTGTGCAACATAAAATAAATATTCGATACTCATTTAAATAAATTTTCATGTAGTTCTATAAGAATAAAAATTAATTTATTAGATTTTATTTAATATATTATACAATATAAAATTTAAATTGTCATGAATTATAATAATTATTATTATTATTATTTACGTTCTTACATTGTCGAAATTTTATTGAAGGAAATTTTTCTTAGTTATATAAAATGATAAATTTAAAGTTTTCAATATTTTTATTCAACGAAACCACATTGTCGACAGTGAAATGCAGCATTATTGATATGCGATTTTATTCAATAAAAATTTTATTATCGGTTGGCCAGTGCTATTGAGAAACGCTATTGTGATAAAATATATATGTATATTTTTATACATACTATATGTATATGAATATATGTATATAGTTATAAGCAAAAGTCAGATTCAATTTCTTCTACACCAAGCAGAGCAGTTTTTGTAGCACCCAAATGCGAAAATTGCATAACGCGTGGGTCAGATTCAAACGACATTAGCCTACGACTTCGATTCGTAGCAATCGATTTCCATCTTCGTTGAATTTCATTCCAGTTAGTTTTTCTTTCAATATCTTGAAAGCAAACTTACAAGAACAGTTCTCCATTACGACATAATTTTCCTCCAATGTTTTTTTTTTCTTTTCATTGTTCTAGTATATATATATATATATATTACTGATATATATTTTTTTCTCACTTTTTTATCGTTACATACTACTTTAAAGAGGTTCAGACTATTCATTTGTACACTGCCAAGTCGTTCAGAATTGTAGAAATATTTTTTCCAATTTTTATTGAATATTTCATTCTTTTTTCTTTTTCTTTTTTTTTTGAGAGTCCAATAAAGCTTGAACTATATATTTTTTTTTTATGTTACTGAATTTTTTTTATTAAAAAAATGCTTGATACATTTGTTCGTTGTAGTTAATTTATTTTAAAACTTTTATGATTTTAATTCAATAATCTGTAGTTGAGAATTACCTCAGGCATGAGCAACGAAATTTTTCATTGGTTAAATGAGTACACTTTTAAAATTATTTGAGAACAATTAAACTATTTTTTTAATTTTATCACAAAGTTTTAATAAATTTTTCTTTTTGTTAAACAATTTTTTTTCCTTCAGTTGAATCATCGAATTTTTAATTTATATTAATTAAAAAAGAAATAAATAAAAATAAGAAACATTAATCTTAGATAATTTCTATCAATTGATTTATAAATGTACATTTTTTATTTTTTTATATTCCAGCGGACTGTCTGCGAAGAAATAGAAATGGTTGAGCTGAGTGGAAGTAGTCAGCCGACCGTGATGCAGCTAGCACAATTCAGTAGTGCTGGATTACCAAGTTTAGCATCAGCACCAGCATCTTCATCATCTTCTTCAACGACAACCGCAGCTTCTTCATCAACAACAAGTCGTACTGGAGTCCTGGAGACTCAAGTACGTGGTCAGTGGTATAAAGTTTTTGTATCATTGGAAGATGATTTTCTCAGTATATCATTAGACGACAGTTATGATCACGTTCTAGCTGGAAATGGTCCTCTTAATGGTAATTCTAATAACAACAGTATCGATAGTTTAGATCCGGATGTACCGGACTCTGTTGCTAATCAAAAAAGAATAGTGCGTGTGATAAAAAGTGATAACAATGGATTGGGTATATCTATTAAAGGTGGTAAAGAAAATAAAATGCCTATTCTTATTTCAAAAATTTTCAAAGGCATGGCTGCTGATGCTACTGAACAGTTATATGTTGGTGATGCTATTTTGGCCGTTAATGGTGAAGATTTACGTGAAGCTACTCATGATGAAGCTGTCAAGGCCCTTAAACGTGCGGGGAAAGTTGTAGAGCTTGAGGGTAAGTCAATCAAAATTTTAATGGTCAGAGTTATGTATGAATTCAATGCTGTTTCGAGTTTATTATCAAATGTGATACATAATATAATACAATTATTTATGAAAAATTAATTTTATATTAACTTATTCAACTTTACAACTTACTGAAATATTAATGAATCTTTTACTTGAACTTTCTACATGGATAGATTTTATATTAATTTTTAAGTAAACATCTGCTCTAGGGTATAATTGAAATAATGAAGTATTTTAAAGATACAAAGTTTGATTAGAAAAATCAATAGTTTAAATTCATCTAATTGTTAATTACATGTATGAAAAAAGTTTGTTGAACTTGGATAAGAAATAATTTTTTCTTGGGTATTATTTTCAAAGACCGGACATTCATTTTGCATTCTTAGTATACCGAGTTAATCGAGTTGGTTACTAAAAAGGTAACATTTACCACAATATATATATAGATATACATATAGCAATACCAGAAACACAAAAGAAGAAATTAAAAAAAAATAAAAAAATAGTAAGGAATGTTGGGGTGTATAATAAGGAAAAGAATGGAAGAAATCGCGTGACTAAAAACAAAATCTCAAAAAGTTTTGCTGTCTTGATGCACTTTCTTCTTCATATATATATATATATTTTTTTTTATTCTTCTCTTATCTTTATTCTATCTATATATAGATATATATTTAATAGTATATTTGTATATATAAACTAAGTTACTATTACCTTACTTACCTAGCATCCTTCTTAGCCGCCCCCTTTGTAGTATAGCCGTGGAACATTAACGAGACTCTTATTCCAATTAGCCTTAAGTACATGGTGCATTAAGCACAACGGATTTCTCGCTCGTTTCGATATCGAATTTTGTGTCTTTTTTATTCACGAGTTTCTTTCTACTTTCCAATTCTCATGAATAATTTGTCGCTCAAGTTTTTCTCTATTATTTAAAGATGCCGTTTACTTTAAAAAAAAATAAAAAAACTTTTAAAAAATTTTTTTTTGCTAGAAAATGTTGAAATAAAAAATTTTTTTCCAGTTATTACTAGTAATTGGTGAAACATTTTGCATTGTAGTTAACATTTGTAATGCATAGAAAATTGGTTATAAAAAAAAATTGTTCTACTAAAAGTAGTTCTTTCTTTTCTTACTCTCGTGATTTTATTTTATTTTTTTTTTGTTTTTATTTGTCTTTTAGTAAACTATTTTTTACCCTTGTACATAGCGTGATGAGCTTTTAGTAAAATTAATGCGCTTCATGGCTTGACACTTAGCCTTTAGGTAAATACACATGCGTGACCTTGATGACGTGCAGTGACCGGAAGTCTTGATAGAAGAGCTCACGTACTATGTGCTTGAATGCTTGTCAGATTTCTAGGAAAATGGACGGACTAGAGAATATATAAAAATAGAAATACAAAAATTATATGTATAAGTATGTATAAAGAGATATAGCAGTACATAAAGTATATAAGATTTTGCAAAAGCTTTTATCCATTTTTTTACATTTTTACTTTCAAAAGCTTACCTTCTTATTTCTCTTATCGTTTTCTTTAGAGGAATGTCCATTGAAGAACTAACATAAAAATAATGTAATTTATATTTAAATAAAAATTTATATTTACAGTTTTATTTCTATATTGTTATTGAATAAAAGCTAATAAATAATACAAAGTAAATAAAAATAGATGGATAAGATATTTGAAATAAGTTTAAACATTTTTTTAAAAATAAAACAACTTAGGGATTTATGATAAAATATTTTTTAGTAAAATGGAAATTATTTTGATCAAAAAATTTATTTTGTATATTAATTTTGGACACTACTGTACCTAATTTCAGATTAAGTCTTTTTTTATGATAGATACAAAATTTTTATTATTAATAATAATGGAGGAAAATAGAGAGAAAAAAAAAATAAGAAATTAGAAATAAAATCAAAGCTATTTCTCATAAGCTTTTATCATCACGTTTTTTTTTTTACACTTTTGTTTTTGCTTTTAAAATTTCTTCCCCCGTTATATTCAACAATTTTTCAGTCTTTCATTTTTTTAATGCTCGGGCTTTTATACTTGTGTTCGACCCCCCCTACTATTTTTGTCGACCCTTGTACTGAACATAACACTTGTTTTTCAAACTTCTTTTGTCACCTTGCAACCATTTGTTTTACCTCCCTTCATTTTTCTTATTACTTATTGTATATGTACCATTACATCTATATATATATATATATATATATGTATATGAAAACACACGTGGTGACTGTAATATATATAAATGAAAGGATGCTGGATATTAAGATGACTCTGACAATCGTGTTTTATTCTCGAAGCTCGCTGAATCATCGTTATCAGAAAGAATAACTGATGAAAGAAGTTGATTACTCGTTGACCCTAGTGGTGTATAGTACTGTAGAGGAGTAGAGCAAGTAATAGATGGCTTTGCTAAAAGAATAAGAGGAAATAATGGTCTAGATTTTCTCTTCCAACCTCTGAGAAATGATATTTAATGGTCGTATGTTATTGACAAAAGTTGTAATGAGGAGTTTGTCTATCGGTTGTCGAAGGAAAAAAATTACTAAACTTTAAAATAAAAAAAAAATACTAGAGTAAAGAATTATTATTATAAAAAAAAATAATAATAATAAAGTGTAGTTAATTGCACTGATTAAATTACTTTAATACTGTAAAGTATTTTTTTTCTTGCATAATTTTTTTTTATAATTTCTTAATCATATTAAATTATAATTAATGAATTATTTATTTTGTGTTTTCCTGTTTATTTATTTACATTTTAATTATTTAGTAATGAAAGTAGTAAATTAATTATATGAGCTTTTTATTTAATCATGTCAATTGTTAATGTGATTAATTTAATTATATTAATTGAATCTATTTGATATTGATTTAAGGTAAATGGTATGATTATTGACTTTCTTATTATTATTGGCTATTTATATAGGAAGTAATGTCAATTGATCAGAATGAAATAAAAAGACATGTGCCAATAATGATTGTTAGAGTGCTGATCGTAGTATGTTTCATTTACTCTACTGAACCATTAACTTAATTGCAGTATTTTTACCTTGAATAATAGAGATGAGAAACTTTTGCTACTAGTTTATTTAAATAATTACTATTTTATATAAATAAATTACAATAATGAAATTTTTTTGTTTTTCTTGCTTTTATTTGTTGGTTATTTTGTTGTTTCATTGATCGATAAGATTTTTTAAGTGAGATTAAGACGATTATTTATGACAATTTAATAGTCAAAGTTTAAATAAAATGGCTAAAATATTAAGTTGTCAGAATAATTACCATATTTACGAAGAAATTACGAATTATGTCAGGAGTTGAAGGCATTCATGTTTGTAGCAAAAGAAAAAAAAAAGAGCTTTAAAGTTTTTTTTAAAGTTTTCTACAATGTCTTGTTGACTTTGTCATAGCAAAAAAGACATACTTCGTAACTATACTCTCTTCTATACTGTAGAAGCATATCCACCCTGATGTGAATGTCGTTGGCCCTTTATCCTTTTATCTTTTTCCATCTTACATGTTTTAAAGGAAAGTCTCCTTTCCTATCTTCTACCAGTTTTATCGTAACAGTACAGACATTGCGAACGTTTTACTAACTTTTTGCATTTTTTTATTTATCTTATTTTAAGATTTTTCTTCTTTGTTTTTTTTTCATTTTATTTCATTTCTTGTTTATCATTTTACCTAAACAATATTCCAGTAGTTTTCTTCAACCAGTTGTAAAAGAGTCATTTCAATTTGCTATACTCTTCTGACGATCTTGCTTAGATAAGCGAAATATCTTTGACGAGTTTGCATACGTTTTTATTTCACAATTTTTGTGGTTGATAAAAACAAACAATGAGTATAAGTAACTGATATAAAATATTTTTTATTTTATTTTTTTTTTTTTTTAAGATACACAATTGAATTAAGTTTCTTTTTCCTACATACTTTTTTGTATTATTTCAAACAATAAGATTTTAACAAATTCAATTGTTTAATTTTTTTTTTTTTTAAATAAACTTGAATAAAGTATGATATTTTTTTTTATTGAATTTTTGTTTAAATAAACATGAATTCAATTTTAAAAGCTTCTATTTTAAAATAAGTTGATTAAAAAAAATATTTGAAATAGGTTCTACTTATTGAGTGATTAATATTGTTTAAAACTAAGATTAATATTAATACAATATGGTGTGATTAACGACTTCTTATGATTCTAAACAATTATATATTGTTGATAACAATAGCAATTCATCATAAATAAACAAAACTATAAGATGACTAAATAATGAATTTTAATAAATGGGAAGTTGGTTGTGTAGGCATAAATTGCAAGAAGACCAATTTTTTAAATAAAAAAAAAAAAAAAGTACAAAATAAAATTCCATGAATTATTGAATGCAGTTAAGAACTTTTAAATCATAGGAACAGTGGGTAGATATTAATTTACCTTGTTAGTATCATAAAAAGCACATAATGAGTGAAATATATAGTACACAGAGCAGTTTAAATATTGCATATTTAGTAAATTATGACTGTTACATAATGCATGCAATAAAAAATATAATATGACAAATAGTACTGAATCCACAACAATGTTGACAGTAATATTAGTCTGAGCTTTTAGTTAGTTTCGTGCTTTTATTTAGCTTTTTACTAAGAAAATATCGTAGAATAAGAGTCATAAAGAATAGTAGAAATACAAGTATGCATATAAGCTTCTTCCAGCCGCGAAACGATCCTCCAACGACTTTGCGTGTCTCCTTTTCACCGTGTCTTATCCTTTCTGGCGATCTTTCCGCCGGATCTTGAGGATCCTTGTGAAATATTGTTGCTCTCTGATTATGAATCACCTTCTAGAGAATACACACCAGTTCTCTCTTTCTTATTCTTCTCTTCTACTTATTTTCTTCCTGAAAAATAGTACTAGAGCTTTCAAAAAAAAAAAAACATCTTAAACCTGTGAGTATGACTTTAT